CACATTGTAAAACTTTCTGAGGAAACGAGCTGTTTAAGGAATTATGAATGAGACCTTGGGGTATATTAAAGCTACCAGGGGGTCACTTTGGCCACTACGCAGCCCGCCTATCAATAGACGCTCCGTGCTCTTACATCAGCAAAACCCTTGGGTGCATTAATTTCCAACGAGCAACTATTTTAACTCTCAGGATTTGCTGGTTGCGTAACAAAATCATGAAGGCGTTTCAAATCGCGAGGTCCTTCTAGCAAAAAAACCAGCAGCTGTGCGCTGTTGAAACTTAGTTCGTTGCTTAATCAAGGCATGTCATCGTCTGTTACTGCCTGAAATGTTACCGATTTTCCGTCATGTTTCGTTTTTTAAAGGAAAACTAATACATGTGAATTCTTGGAAATTCTTCTTATTTTGTATAGTCCCGAACAAAATTTTCCGTGAAAATCGGAAATGAAAACGTTCCATATTTTTCTAGGATAAATGAATAGATTAAAGGAGATAAAAAACTTATAAATTTTATTGAGACGTCCCTTCAAAATATTGTTCCAACTTACGTAAAAGCAAACTCTTTTCGGTGGAAAGGAAAGTATTTGTTCAGTGAAATTTGCGAGAAATAAAATTTGAGTAAACATTTGAACGAGTTCCGAGAACTCTTCAAAACCTTTACACCGAGAAAAAAAGATGCTTTAGTGACACCACAGATGTTAAAAAAATGTGCGACAACACTTGGATGTAGTCATTAATACTTTGGTGTTAAAGTAAGATCCTAGAGTATTACTGGCAACATCCAAGAGTTGTCGCACTTTTTTAAACATCTTTTTGTTTCGTTGTACTATGGTTATCTAACACGAAAAATGTTCCGGAAAAAAGGTAAAAAAAACCATTGACCTACGGCACTTTTTTAAAAACCTATTTACATAAATTTTACGAAACAAATTGTGGACGTGAGAAAACTACTGAATACAATTGTTTTCCTTTTGCGTAAGCTATGACAATTTTTTTCGAGTTTTTGAAAAGGGCATTTGACAGTGACTGCCACGAAAGCACCGTGCAACTGTTCTGCCGTGCTAAGGAAAAACGCCGTATGAACATTCGAGTTTTGCCATATTTACCTGGATAAAACATGTAGGTATTTTTTAGGAAAGTTATGCAGATTTTCCCTTGAAATCTTCAGACATTTCAGAGTAAATTCTGAACAAAATTGTCTGACATTTTTAAAGAAAAATATTCACAATTTTCCACGTAAAGTCGTTCTCAATTGAGGGAAACATGGCAACATCTGAAAGCTCATACGTTGTTCTTTCTTAGCACGTGCAACTGTTGTCGCACGTTGCGGGCGCCACTCTGCGGAATGAAGAACGTAAACGAGAAAAGGAGAAAAAAGTAACTCGGCTCCTCACCTATTGAAAGAGGCGCCGGCCGGGGCCGCCTCTGTCATATGGCCGTAAAAAAATTAACGACTTTTTAATGCGCCGGCAGATGGGCTCCGGCGATTGGTTGACAAAAGGGCCGCGGAATCACGACCAGTTAGTGATGAATTAGCTAGCCACTTTTTTATTCTCTCCGTCGTTGATCGGAAATTGATAGCGCCGTTGCCGACCCGTCGGGATCCCCACATTTTCTGACGTATGAATAACAAATTTGTACAGGGAATTGACAGCATTGTCGATTCGTGCTCCATGTATTCTGCCGTGCTAAGGAAAAACGCCGTATGAACATTCAAGAGTTGCCAAATTTCCCCAAATAAGTCATGCATTTTTGAAGAGGGTTTTGCATGCTCTTACTCGAAATTTTCAATATTTTAGATTCAATTATGAGCAAAATTTTCTGAAAAATTGTAAGAAAAATATTCAGAATTTTCCCGGTAAATTAGTTCTTTATTGAGGGAGATACGGCAACGCCTGACTACTCATGCGGCGTTTTCCCTTAGCATGGCAGTATTTGCGTCTGCATGTGAGTGTCGAGGGTGCGACGGCTCTGTGTTGTTTTTAGATCCATTATGATGAGGAACAAAATGAAAAGTGTTGAATTGAATTGCATTATTTACATGGCGATTGTTATTTTTTTCGGCTATCGTATCCAGTGGTGTTTTTTGGCGAAAAAATATCGAGCGAGTCGAATTGGAATACATTTTGCAGTTCAATTGGTCAATCTCAAAAATACTCGAACTCCAAATATGAAAATCTAAGAGGTTCAGTAGAAATTACATTAAACGCCCCGGTCTACATCGCAGATTAATTACAAATGTCATCATTTAATTTATTTCTTTAACATTTTAGAGCTTTGAGATTTAGAGCGAGTCAATTAAGATGGTCATTACCAGAATGGGAATGGCCATAAGGCGAATCTGCCATTGGCAGATAGGTTTCCCCCTTAAAATTCCTTATCACATAAGATTTAGTTGGTCATCGATGCTCCATCCCTCCATGCTTTATGCTTTCCTAATGGACCAGTGGACAAAGTATACCTTTTCTTCAATGGACCACTAGACAAGGTACGAATCGAAGCATTCTGATACATGGGATCTAGTCAGAATTTCACGTAGAGCACGATTTGCACAACGAAAATTACTTAAACCAACTCCTAACGAAGATATTAATGTTTTTATTTCACATTGGTCACGAGGAATTTGAACTGCCCGCTCACAAGAAACTCTACGTTTCTTTTCTACAAGAAGCTCTACGTGAGTCGAATCGCGCACTACAACGGTTTCAGCAAGCCTCTCAATCGAACAATATACATTTCCCACCATGTATTGTTCAAACTATAAGCAATTTTCTATAGCTGAGCCAAAGTGTCAAGATTGAGGTTGCCAGATTTGCATTTCGTAAAGACTGTCATGATAACGTTTGGCGCTCGATGTGAATCACATAGAGCATTGAGTTTTCATGAGCGGGTGGTTTGAATTCACGCATTAAGAATCATTAAATATCTTCGTAAGAAGTTCATTTCGGTAAATTTCGTTGTGTGCATCGTGTTTTACGTAGAATGTTGGTTTAGAAACATGTATTAGAATGCTGAAATTCTTATCTTATCTAGTGGTCCATTTTGATCATTCACTGTTCATCAAAAAAAGCTCATTTTATACGTGCGAAACTGTTTAAATTCACAACCGCTTTTAAGAAAGTATGTGATCTAGTAAACGGCGAATCTTTCAGTTCCGCTTCAGGATATGATGACCAAACCAAGGGACTTAAAATACGCAATCTGATCCAACCGCCTGTGCTATCTTCTTTTAAATAAGACGTAGAGACCAAAAACAATTTTATTATTATTTTAAAATAATATTCCACGCCATTTTTTGAATATGCGACTCGATTTAAGACCCAAAATTATGAACTTTGTGGTCAACATCATTATACAGGGCCACTCACAATGGATACAAAACAGCGCCTTCAAATCAATCCGTTAACTTAATGCAAAATTCTGATACCACTATTCGTGCGTCACGGCAGTCATTTTACATAACCAGCTATTTGAAGGCGAATCATTGACTTCAGGCAACGGAATACGAATTACAGCAATGTCATTCGATTTTCTTGGGCAGCAAACCCGGGGGGCACCGCCCCCGGCCACTAAGAAGCCAAACCCGGGGGCCGTCCCCCTGGCGACTAAGGAGCCAAAGCCGGAGACCGCCCCCCTGGCCCCTAAGAAGCCAAAGCCTGGGGTCAGCCCCCTGACCCCTAAGGAGCCGAGGCCGGGGGTCAGCCCCCTGAACCCTAAGAAGCCAAAGGCGGGGGTCAGCCCCCTGACCCCTAAGGAGTCAAGGCCGGGGGTCAGCCCCCTGACCCCTAAGAAGCCAAAGCCGGGGGTCCGCCCCCTGAACCCAAAGGAGCCAAGATCGGGGGTCAGCCCCCTGACCCCTAAGGAGCCAATGCCGGGGGTCAGCCCCCTGACCCCTGAGGAGCCAAAGCCGGGGGTCAGTTCCCTGAACCCTAAGGAGCCAAGACCGGGGGTCAGCCCCCTGACCCCTACGGAGCCAAAACCGGGGGTCAGCCCCCGGAACCCTAAGGAGCAAAGATCGGGGGTCAGCCCCCTGACCCCTAAGAAGCCAAAGCCGGGGGTCCGCCCCCTGACCCCTAAGGATCCAATGCCGGGGGTCAGCCCCCTGACCCCTAAGGAGCCAAAGCCGGGGGTCAGCCCCCTGAACCCTAAGGAGCCAAGACCGGGGGTCAGCCCCCTGACCCCTACGGAGCCAAAACCGGGGGTCAGCCCCCGGAACCCTAAGGAGCAAAGATCGGGGGTCAGCCCCCTGACCCCTAAGAAGCCAAAGCCGGGGGTCCGCCCCCTGACCCCTAAGGAGCGAAGGCCGGGGGTCAGCCCTCTGACCCCTAAGGAGCCAAAGCCGGGGGTCAGCCCCCTGAACCCTAAGGAGCCAAGGTCGGGGGTTAGCCCCCTGACCCCTAAGTAGCCAAGGCCGGGGGTTAGCCCCCTGACCCCTAAGCAGGCAATCTTCAACAACACGTTAATGCAGCGGACTCAAAACTGTCAAAAATTGAGATACGCACTCTGTAGTTTCACCCTCGAATTGGAGCTGAGTGCATCTCTTAGTGCGACAATGTGCTAGTTAGTCGATGCTAGATGCTCAAACTGTGCCTTCATATTACAAGGCACACTGCGGAATAACTTGCGAGTCGTAGTATATATTTATTAATTCAAAAATTAAAGTAGCCTCTTACGAAATGAAATTCGGAAGCATATTCCTTTGAATAAATGGAGAAAGGGCCAGTGATGGCTTTAGTTCATATGGATTTGGGGCAGTAGAAATGTATAAGTTAGGACTTATTGCGATTTCTTACACGATATTATGTAAAATATGCGTGTAAACAAAAATGGCATGAAACTATTGACTTGAAAATCTTAACAGGATTAACGCCGTTAATCTTTAATCGCCGTTGATTCTTAATGCCGTTTATGTTGGTGTGAAACATCGCTGAACGCAAAAGGTAGGTGGCTGAAGTCATGCTTACTTCCGATTGCAAACTAGGAATACAGAAATAAATCAATTTAGTAATCGGTATTAAGCTTTTATTAACAATTTTGTTGTAGTAAATACAGTTAACGATGGAGTTTTATCCATACCTACATCATAACATGCTAGAAAGATCATTTATACGAACCATAAAAAAAGCGCTCGATTGCTGGCTCATAAAAGTAAGATTGAAGAAAAACAAAAAGCTAAATATTTAGTTTATGTTCGCTTCATAGCTCATCAGTAATCTCTTAGGTATAAGTATCATCGGTGAACAAAATCACAGTTTTCTTAAATTTTTAATCCTTCATTTTTTTACCCTGTTGCATGGATTTTATTACGAAGAGCATTAATAATCAGAGTTGTTAAATTTTCTTTTCAAAAAAGAAAGGAGAGAGGAAATCGATGACCTGAGGGCTAATAAAAGTTTTAGAATTCAATCAAAGGCAATTCTACTCACTTCAATGTGAATTTCAAAATCAGCACGAACATTACATCTACGGTAACCGAGAAAAATGCGAATATTCATTGCAACGTTTTAAATTCTCCGATTATGTTTTATGTTTTTCGAAAAAAACTAATCAAAATGTTTCCTTGCAATTCTGTGTGATATTTTTAGAATGGGAACAGACATTCACGGACAATTTCAATAGAAACTGTAGGTTAGTTTTCACTTAAAAAAAATTAAACAGGAATACATCAGGGTTACATCATTGCAAGCTCAGATACCTATGCATTTCTTTCCTTTAGTCATCAATATTCAATTCTTCTTATGTAGTGTGAAGACAGCTTCATTTTTTGATGTGAAATTAGCGAAGAGACCCTTTAGGGTGTACGCATTTTTCATTGACCTAGGTGGAGGAAAAAAGATAATGGTTCTGTGCTCTTCAAACAATCTTACCTCTATGACTTTAAATTTGAATAATTTTATTCTGACAAGATATTGCTCGACTTATTTGATTGACTAGAGTGGTTGGAACTTAATTGAAGAACCAATACTGATTAAACAGGGTTTCCTGCGGAGTTTTGACAGATTCCCAAGTATGAGACCTCCCCCATAATTTTTCTAAATAATTCAAACATTTTTGACTCAAAAGTTCGGCAAGACTAATTAAAATTGATAACTGGTTTCGAGATTATCATGCGCTCTTATAAGTTTACGAGTATTAACTTAAATTAGACAGTTGAAACAGGGGGAGAAAAATTGACAATATTTTGAATTCCACGAGCATCTCAGAGAAGAGAAAGAGGCCTTATAGCAATTGCTGCAATTTTTCAGTTTTCCAGATCACTACGCAATCAAATAGCAAGCACCTTGCTTTTCAAATAGCTGGAAACCCTGTTAAAAGTCTACAAACTGAGGAGTTCTTAAATTACTTTTAATGTCCTACCACGGCTCTGCCCATAAAGATGGACGTTGACAAAAAAAAAAAAAACCCAAGGGTTCAGATAACACCCTAAAGCAAACCTGAAACCAATCTAAAATTCTGAGCTCACCAAACTAGTTTGGTATTACATTTTCTGTTCGCCAAAGTTGTTGCCCTTCTTTAAAAAATGGGGACAAATTGTATTTACTACTCTCATAATGTGTTGTTTCAGAAGTGCTTGCCAGTGAATTCAAAACGTGAACAACATACAATTTTTTAATATTTTAAAATGGAAAAGGGTCATTTGAAGAAAAACGGTTTTTCTGCGCTTGGCTGTTCCAACTGTTGAGCTGGCAAAGTATAGTTTCTAGTCCTTTCAACAACGGATATTTGACACTTTTTATATTGACACTTAACGAGCACATTATCTGATATAATCCAAGCGTTTTGCAAGAAAAACGGCAAAGTTATGAATTCAACTTAAAAATCTTCCCCACTTTCCCGGAAAGTGTCACGGTTGAAGTTATGGCAACGTTTAAATTAAGTGATTTTACAGGTGTTATAGACTTGTGGTGAGTAGGCATAACAATCTATGGAAATAAAGTTATCATTGAATTTAAAAATATTAATTAAAGTATTTCCTGATGAAATAGAAATGATTCAATTGACCTAATTTAACTATTGAAAAAAGATTATGCTACAAGGTTCAGTGGGGCCCTGAGCGGAAACTCTTAATAAATGAAGAACTTCTTAAATTATTTGGAAAATTATCTAATAAATTTTTCCTTTTTTCCCCCATCAACCTGGTCACACAGTTGGTGAGCTGAAAATTTTTTTGGCTGAAGTTGATCCAAAATGCATTTTGGAACTCATTTTTAATCTTTTTTTTAGTTAACTTTATTTACTAAATGAAAGCTTAGTTGCCTTTTCAATCCTTTCCCGACAATTACACTGTAATTATTTCTAAATCATCAATGTTAATGAGAATAAAAAAATTTAGAAACCATTTAAGGCCTCTAACCAGAGAGAGTACATGTAGTTGCAATTAGAAAATAGCACAGAACATTATGCGTCAATAATTGACATCCTATCATTGAAAAGACTAACAAGATGTAATGTAAATAAAGAAAGTGTTGAAGTTATAAAAAATAAATCTGTGTTCTTGATAATGCTTAAAGAGAAGACTAAATCTTTAGCTTTACTTAATAAGAGCCAAAATAAAATTAATCCTGTGGTTTCTCCAACATAACACCTCCCATAAAAGAAAATCCACCTTCATAATCATTTTTTCACTTTTTTACGAAAAAATAAGGGTGGAGACGGGAGAAAGCTCACTAAAAAAACATTTTTTGTTACAAAATTCGATAGTTGAAACTTTGCATAATCGATCTCTCAAACCATCAAACATGTGATTGACATTTTGTTTTTAGATAAACCTCAAAGTCAAGAGCAAACAGTAAACAAAACAATCAGGTAAATCTTCCTCCAAGAGTTTACCTTTTCAAAATAATAACGGTAATTTAACAATTCACTGGCAGATTTTTCAGAAGCTCAAATAAACTGTTCCAACTCCACAAAAAAATTTCTGACTTAAATATTATAATAATTTTTTTCATTACTTTTTTTACACGAGACAATTGACCACTGGACAGAGTAAGAAATTACATACCATAGAAGTGTATCAAAAATTTCCTATAGCGACTCAGAAGTGAGAGATAAACGTTTGTAGTTTACTATAAGAGTATTTCCAAACTTTACGCTCCAAAAAAACACAAGGTATCTTTAATCTCGTCAAAAAAAAGTTAGTATCTACATTGGCAAATTCTTCCATTTAAGAATATACCAAGATTAATTTTGAAATGGATTTGACTTAAGCAGACTCTTGTTATTTTTTGGTGAATGATTGTTTAAGTCAACATATTTGAGCGCTGTTGTTTACTAACTTTAAAGTTCAATTTGGAAAGTTTGAATCTGTTCATTGTTTTCTGCGTAAAACTTTGATATGGAAACATATCTTGCAGTGCTTAATTTCATTTCCTGTCAAGTAGTCTGTTCTTATTTATTCACTTTAAAAGAGTATGACACCGGTAAATTTAGTAAATTGTAGCCAAACCAACCGCCAGTTACGATTTACGATGACAATCAATCGTGACAATCGACTGTAATATTTGATTACAGAGCGATCAGGCTCACCATACAAGTTCGATGTTAAAATGTGAAAAAATCATAGCACTTACAGAAAACTGTACTTCATTTTTACCATCACATGAAACTTGTGTAAATTTACATACTGGCAAAAGTAAACTGCACTTTGCAGTAAATGCCAACACTATATGAAGAGTATTTGATACTGATGTCATGTGGTGTAGTGAAAAACAGAAACAATAAGCAACAATTCGGGATGCTCCTCCCTTTTTGGAGTTAGTCTTTTGGCTTTAAAAACAGAGAGTTTTTTTTTCTTTGTTTCATTAGCAACAGCTCCAGTGAATAAAAAAATCTTCATCAGTAATTAAAGCTGCACCCTAGTAGCAATAACCTTTGAAAGCAATTTTTAAAAATTCGTGGAAAACTGTTAAAATATCCATTTCTGAAAACACTTTCAGGCCATATCTAAGGTAAAATAAATTTCATTTTAAATTTACCTAAAAAGTCTTTTAAAATTTTTTAAAAGTCTTTCAATATTTTTTGGAACATTTTGAATGTTGAAAAACTACTAACAGTTTATACTTTTGAGAGTTTTCGTATAGATTACTTGAATTTTACCTGGCATACATTTTACTTAAAAACATACCCAAAAAGGGTTTCCTAAAATGAACATTTTAACAGTTCTTTTAAGAGTTGTTTTTTTAATATTTTCGTACCTTTTAAAAGTTTTTTAACATTGGTTGCTACTGGGGCAGTATAACATTGTGGCACCCTATTTCATAACATTTAAGTCGTGTTAAGGTTTGCCTGCATAATTCAAAATCAATCAATATATCACAGTTTCGTTTTGTAGTCTTAAAGTCTAAGTTACGGTTTTAAACTTCAACAGATTTTTACAATTTAGAAAATAAAGTATTATTGAGAGCCTATTAGACTAAAAATACACCTGATAATGGTTACAAGTGCTGTGGGTTGATAAAATACTTTAATGGTTAGTAAGAATTACTAAAATTATTTTTTCAAAGACTATTGCAACAGTAAAAATTAATATTTAAATTTAATATGAATAGAGATCATGTCAGAATAATTGAGAGTTATAAAGGCAGATCTTCACTCAACTATAATCTGACCATTTATCCATATTCATGTAATACTACCCACGTAAGGTAAGGCAGGGACTGACACCCTACTACTTCAGTCACCGGTTTGAGGGCAGATACATTTCTTGAGGCGTCCAACCTAATGATATAGACACTTTCATACGCTGCTTCTACCTTTTGTTGCTGTTCTATGCCAAACCGACAATTTTTAATCTTAAATTGGAAAAGGGTACATGCTGAGAAATGCTTTTAAGAATCAAAAAGAGATCTACTAGAACAGTATTTGGATAAAGTTAGGCAAAAAAGTGAAATCTACATTGGGGTGTTTCAAAATCTCATCTCCTGTTTTGATTTTTAGAAGGAAACTAAAAAACATTCCTCATCGAAAATTGCTTAGATTTTTCTGGCCTGTATAAAGGTTAATTCCAAAAAATTAAAATAGGCCTTGAAATTTTGATACACCACAATGTAAAAGTGACTGTTTTGTTTAGCTCTATCCTTATGACCTGCATTTTTAGAAATTGATCTGCGAATACTGAAAAGATAAAAGTCCTGTAGCTGAACAATAGCTATATAACAATGTTTCTTTTCAGACATTGGAGGGGTTTGCCCTTCCTTTTTCTGCAAATTTGAGTTTCTAAAAATTTCAGACTGAATCTGTCTGTTTGAAAAAAAAAAAAAATCATGATTTCAGGAACATTCCAAATTATGTCAATGGCATTTCTCGGAGCCATTTACGATGATTCTTGGGGATTCTTCGGGAGACTTCACACTTAGTTCTGTTCAGGCTCATTTGGGAACAATCTTCTTCCTGAAACGTAAAAAGGAGGGATATGTTAGAGACAAAAATAGATAAAAAATAATGGGAATACAAAACTTTATTGTTTGCATCACCTTTAAATTCTAAGGATAGCAAAGTATCGTTAAATGTAGACTGTTTAAGACAACATATGACAGCGGAGGCATAGATCAGAGTGCTGAAATTTGTACCTTCTACAGTGGACCATTCTAAATATTTTCTATTTCTGATATTTTGAATTATGTCTTAAAATTGTATTTCTTGTTAAAATGAGATATTTTGTATATCCACCCCATAAAAATTTGTTGGATTGAAAGCAACGGTAATCACACTACATACCTCGTCTAACATGACTCAGAAAAGCTAGCATGCGGAGAGCAAAGGAGGCAGGAACTGTAATTGTATCTTTTGTCTCTTCAAGCATGATGATATTCCTCTGCATCAACTGAAAACAAAAACAGGTACTTTATAATTCCATGCAAAAATAAAACAGAGCTCTGAAAGCAATAACAAGAGATTGGTTTCTCACAAATTTTCTTTCTCCTTTGATAAGAGAAAACTTTAATGTTGTCCCGAAGAAAGTTAGGACATTGGAATATTTATCCATTGTAAAATATACGAAAACTGCTTAAGTGCTCCAATAGATTACGATTTTCCTGTAAGCGAAAGAGTGAATTAATGTAAACAAAAACAATTATTTTCTGAATTTTGAGTTGAATGCAGACAATTTTAATGCATCCATCATACTCTACATATAATTGTTATAAGAAAGCAAACATTAAGGTTCTTAATTCGTACCATATCTGGTGGTCCATTAGGAAGTAGTGTTCACGTTTTTCACTGCCCCATTATTTTCCTGAGCAAGATTTTTAAGGTGATTCGTCAAGCTCAAGTGACGTGGTCGAACTGACATGCGATATATCGCATTGATTACGTAAAAAATCTCGGCAGATTTTGAATTTTTAGCAAAAACAGGACAAAAGCCCCTACGCATGAGCCTACAGAATCATTCTAAACCCAAAAATTGGCATAATTCAGAGAAATGAAAGCAGAATAGTGTTTGCAAAAAAACCTTGCATTCAATTCAGCTATCGATTTCTATATGGAATGCGTCACTTGAACTTGACGAATCACCTTAAAGGAATCTTGGAATTCTGTGCCTTGTTCATACCCTGAACAGACTTGGAGCAGGTAAACATGAGGCATGGAGAAAGAGTAAAAAAAATGTCATTGACAACTACCTCCTGAGCTTTTTCCTCATTAAAAGTTGATTCCTCATTTATTGGTGCCCAGAGTTTCACGTCATAGTCAATACCGGAGGTGGCTAGAATCGGTTGGAACGGGTGCGGTTGAATGCAATTGACGACATGATTGTCGGCTTGTAACAGCATTGTCAATTTGGCTGTCCAGCGATCCCAGACAAATACATGGCCACAATCGCTACCAGAAAGGACATAATCATTCCCCCAAAAAGTTGCCTCCTTTATCATCGTCCTGAAAAGAAGCAATGAATAAAAATTAACAAATTCCGGGATGAATTATGATAGTGTCCCATAGAATCGGAGATCCAAAATTGATTGATGCTACATTTGATTAAAACATCGACGAAATCAAGGTGGAAGGAACCATCTGACATCATTTGCCTTGTTTTTTGAGGGGTGATACCTGCATCAATATTGGACGTGTAAACTTGGGGTTTGGACCAGTGGCAAGGCGTGCTACGCAATATATCGATTAACATGTCATTTAAACCTATGGAAAAGGATTGATAAACAGGGTGTTCGTAACGATCACCTTATAATCGATTTTTTACCACAGCTTCAAATGGAGAAATATCGAAAATCAATCATTCATGCCTTGCTGCTGGTTTGGACAAGTGTTATTCATTTTTGCTGATCGATAAATCAAATTCATCAAAACACAATTATGTGACTAGCACAACTGATCCATTTTCCTTACTTAAGTTCCTTTTTCTGTGGACTGTCACCTTTGAGGAACATTTTAGATTATTAAATAGGAGCTGTTCTATCAATAAACAGAGGATTCATAGCCTGTAAAATTATAGCCCTATTCAGAATTCAGGGGATAGCTGCACAAAAGATCTGGCTGCTTGAAAATATTACCTTGCATTACGATGACCTGTATATTTTTGCGTGATAAACGGGTATTCATTTTCTTCTAGATCACTCTCATGGCCATAGTCATCGAAATTTTTACTCTCACAGATGGATTCACAGCTACTGTGCATTTCAGACTTTTCTAACTTTTTTTTCCCATTGCTTGAGTTGGTTGCATGAAAAATAAACAAATAATCAAATGAGTAAAAGAAAAAAAAACATTTAAGAGAACATTAATATGGGAAAATGAAATTAAACCTGAAACGAGACATAAAAAGGCTACGTTCATTCCGTGCCTTGATTCAAGCAAGTAGGCCTTGTCTCCACTGGCCATTTCACGAGATTTGTCCCAGGGAAAAATCCCACTTACGAAGTTGGGAAAAATATTGAGTTAATCAATATTTTTCCCAGTACCAGGTATGGTACTTGTACCCCTAGGACCCATTGAGAGAAGAAGAAGAAGTGAAAACGAATCGTGCGATATTTTCTTCATTACTCCATTATTAATGTTTGTTTCGTTAAAATAATGTGTCCAATTGTCAATTGAGTACAATTATTATTTTAATCCCGGTTAAATACTCGACTTTAACTAATTTATCTTCCCGCGCAAACTAGTCGCAGGACCGTATGAGCCTCGTCCCGTGGAGACGGTAACTGGGAAAAATCCCAGGAGTTTCATTCCTGCGAATCGAACTTGGGAAAAATCCCATGAAAACGTCCCGTGGAGACAAGGCCTTAGGAGTCTCAACTGAATTGATCATTCTCAAAAAGGCTCGAGTGCCAAGACATTGAAAATTGAGTCATCAACGCTTTGTTTTGGCTAAGGTATGGATTGCATCTGGAAGCGAAGAACATGTGGTAATTTTTCAATACTACAAACTTTCTTTGAATGCAGAAAAACTGTTCAAACTCGTCCATTCATTCTCAAAAACGCTAAAATGCAGATTTGTTTTTTGGTTTTTTTTTTTAATTTTCCTATTCAAATCGTCGAACAGTTTCTGATCTACTAAAGTTTCTGTTCTAACTACTTTGTGATTTAATTTTGTCTCCTTATCACACGTTAACTTTTCTGAGCTCCAAGATTTAAAACCAGTTGATAAAAACAGGCTCTAGAACGAAGATTAACTTTAAAAAAATGATTTATGAAGAGAAATTGATAATCTTAAAATAACTTACCTATCAAGGAGCTCCACCAAATCATTATCTTCTTCATTTCCGATTTCATTCTGACTTAGATCATTCGAACTGATAAAATTTTGAGCCTTAGAGGAGAGAGAATCATTGGAAAAAGCGAAAGATCCTGGTGACTGGTGAGATAGCTTTGAATTTTGGCTAAAAGAATCACAAGTGCATTGAGAACTACTAGACGAAAAGACTTTCTTGGAATCACATGATTTTTTATTGTCTTGTTCACCGGAGGCAGAGACACTTCTGGGACGCATTACAACATCTTGAGACACTTTCCCTGCTCTACCTTTACCTTTTTTTGAGAAAATAATAGCCTTGCGATTACAAGACTCATCTATTTTTGAATCTGAGCAATTACTAGAACAGCTTGATGATGACGACGGATCGTTAAAGTCTTCAGTCTCCTGCGTTGATCCTGCAGAGTTACTAGAAACTTGACATGAAATAGCGTCGATTTGAGCCTTAACACTATGAAAATTCAGAGATTCATTGCTACTAGCTTCTTTGGCACTTTCACTGCATGAAAAGTTTTCATTTTTGCAAACACTATCCCTATCAACAGAGATTGTAGTAACTTCGGATGAGCAGCAGGGTGTTGATTTACTAAGAGGAACATTGTGGCAGGTACGAACTGTGTTAGGCTCCCTGACGAGTTTTGTACAATTATCACTTTCATTGTTAGATTCGACGTTTGAATTTTGTTTACTATCACAGTTTTCTAAAGACATGTTATTTGGTTCTTGAGAATGACTTGAGGATTCGTCCATTGACGAGCTATGTCTAACTTGTAGAATACTGCCCTGCTGCAAAGGGGGCGGACTCTCTGGACTATCGTTGTGTTCAAGATGAACAATAATTCCCTGGTCCAATGGTGGCGGACTCTCTGGACTATAGTTATGTTCCATATGAGTATCATTTCCCCGCTGAGATGGGGGCAGACTCGCTGGACGATAGCTGCATTTGGTACGAGCAATATTTCCTTGGTCCAATGGTGGCGGACTCTCTGGACTATAGTTATGTTCCATATGAGTATCATTTCCCCGCTGCGATGGAGGCAGACTCGCTGGACGATAGCTGCGTTTGGTACGAGCAATATTTCCTTGGTCCAATGGTGGCGGACTCTCTGGACTGTCGCTAAGTTCCATATGAGTATCATTTCCTCGCTGCGATGGGGGCAGACTTGTCGGACGATAGCTGCGTTTGGTACGAGCAATATTTCCTTGGTCCAATGGTGGCGGACTCTCTGGACTATAGTTATGTTCTATATGAGCATCATTTCCCCGCTGCGATGGGGGCAGACTCGCTGGACGATAGCTGCGTTTGGTACGAGCAATATTTCCTTGGTCCAATGGTGGCGGACTCTCTGGACTATCGCTAAGTTCCATATGAGTATCATTTTCCCGCTGCGATGGGGGTAAACTCTCTGAACGATAGCTGCGTTTGGTGCGAGCAATATTTCCCTGGTCCAATGGTGGTGGACTTTCTGGACTATAGGTATCTTCAACATGAACAATATTTCCTTGTTGCAATGGAGGCGGACTTTCTGGACTGTACCTGTGTTCGACATGAACAACACTTCCTTGCTGCAATGGAGGTGGACTCTCTGGACTATAGTTCTGCTCCACCTGAACGATATTTCCCCGTGAAGGTGAAGGAGGTGGACTTTCTGGGCTATCCCGAGTGCTGCGCCTAGTATCATTTTGAAGCAATGAGGACACTGTGTCATCAGTTTGACGGAGATAATGGGACGTTGACAACATCTGAGGAACATTTGTCAAGAAAGAGGCAAGTGTGAAGCTATTTTCTGTAACTGCAGTGGATGAAGAATTTAATTGAAATTCAGTTTGAGTTGCAACTGAAGAGCGTGATGGTCGAGCTAGTGAATTGGATGAAGAGCTGGATACTGAAACCTTGCTGTTGTTTCCAGCCTGCGATGACTTGGAGGTTTTAGCCAGGCGTGAGGAGTTAGCAACAGAACTAGTGGAAGGTTGATTCATGGTTAATGGAGTGACAGCTGATGAGTCACTGAAACGGAGACCGCAGTTAGCATAAGATTGAGAAACAGAAGAGCCTGATTGAGATGATTTTGGTTGTTTTACTAGAGATGAATAAGTCTGCTCAAAAGATGGAAGTTGGACGTTCTCTTGGCTTGGATGAGAGGCTGCTGATGAAACAGAGGGTGCCTGCGTCTCATTCCTTTGGACAGACGATGGACTGCTTGTGGATGCATCAGTGTCAGATAATTGAGACTCGCTGGTTGAAGAATTGCGACTATTCTCATCAACAGGTGAGTTTTCTTCTTCGATTCCACCTGAAAAGGGAGGAAAGCAATTCGTTTTCAATAGACACATTAAATTAATCATTAGAGCATTGACAATTATGCCAATAACTGAAAACAAAAGGTAACATGGTTCTGCGAATTCTATTGCAATCTACCGAAATTATACAGGGAGATGCAAAAAGTTCCACGTTTTTCCCCAAGGTTTAATTGGCCATCCACCATTTTGGACCATGATTCATGATTAGTTTTCCCTGAAAACCAAAAAAAACCTTTTCCTCCGAACAATCCCAAGGAAAAAGGATTTAAAAGGATACGAATATGAACAGGAAAACTAATGGCACAGGTGCCATTTTAAAATTGAGCCAGAGGTACCTAGTAGTTTCTTATTGCAAAATGAAGTTTATGTGTGTTTCTAAATTTGTGGCCTCACATTCATTAAGGGTTAAAGAGGTACAATAAATACTTGCCCTCATTTTCATTCCTAGTTTCTTCCGTAGATTCCTGTTCCTCAGTTGAATTTTCTGTTTGTTGTGTTTCTTGAGTTGCACCGTCTCGATTTACTGAACTGTTAAAAATTCGGAAGATAGCATTTGTCATTCTTTGCATGAAAATTGCATGTATAGAGCGTCTAGCAGGTGAAGAATCTAAAAACAAAATCAAGGAACGTTATGAAACATATTTGAGGCTGCATCCTAGTTCAAATTATTTCACTTTTCAAAATTCTTTACCAAATCCCTTAAATTATTCAACACCTTTCAGGAATAAGCAACACACACACAACAAACGCTACTATTACATGAAGTTCTCTGCTGTATTCATACCTCTTTGTCTCCTCTCAATATTTCCCTTTTCTGAATCCCATTTTTAAAATACAGTAGCGATAATCTCACATTTTTCTGAAACAATTTTTTCACCGATGAAACCTGCCATTTCCGGATTGCGGAAATATTATTTTCAAAATTTTGTTAGATTTAGCCTATTTTTACATGCTGTTGCTTTATGAGTGAAGAGCTCGAAAATCCAATTTTTGTGTTTCTATGCTCCTGGTATGTTCGGTTTCATGCAACGGGTAATGATCCTTGAGAATGACTCTTGATTTCCAGCTCTCTCGGATAGCCAAGAGTCCACCGTACTAAAAAATAACAATCAGGCATTCTTACTTCAAAACTGCAATCCTATATACATCCATCTGTATCAATTTAGATCAGAAAAGTTTCCGAGGAAGCAAAAAACGGGATAACTTCACCTGTATTTCTATTCAATTCTTGTTCTGGTCGAGCATCTGGGCCTGTATCCGACCAGTCACCTCTTAATCGTAGTCTCCGCACTGCTGGGAAGCTACTCTGAGTTGCAACATTTTGACTGTTGGACCTTTTATTTGGAGGAGATGTCCTGACAGAGCTGGGGTTAAACTCACATTTTTTGTAGTTCTGCAAGAAAAAGAAGACTAGGAGTCAAGATAAGCGTCTATCAATAAAATATCGATTCAAAAAAGCTGACACGTGATGCAAGCCACCAAGATGAAACAAGTGACAGTGCTGAGGAAAAAAATCGAATCAAGGGAACAATAATACGAACATGAACTTTGATGTGAAAACTGCAATGCTTGAAATGAATACATATTAAAAATAACTTTTTCCTTATTCTTTCATAAGACTTTAGGGGTTCCTTTTTCAGATAAATGGCATGCAAAGGTTTTCTGAAAAACGATAAAAAGAATACAATTTTTGATTACCTTTATGTTAAAAAGATAGAGATATTCTGCTGAGTAACTGGCTAAAATTTCTTCTCCCTCTGGTGAAAAGGCTAGAGATGTAATTCGATATGCCCCATGGGCCAATGAAGGTACCGTAAACGAACAAAGATAATTTGGCGACGGAGTGTCATCAATTTCTGTGGGCATTTTAAGATGAATGGTAACTAAACTGTTTTTTTTTTTCTTTGAAGAGACAAAAATTTTTTGACTTCAAATATTTACACTTGGATTGATTCTTGTTCGTCCCAGCTTGGATTTGGGAATAAACAAATTGATAGATGAACCTTGTAGAGCTGCTCTAATTTTGCAACCTTTTAACACACTCTGAAAAACTTACAATTCACGTCATAAAGTTATTTTTTTTAAAAAATTAAAACAAGAAGAGACGATTTGAGAGAAAAAAATTATGGTTGAAATTAAAGTTTGGATGATGCACGAATAAAGGTAATATTAGCTGTAGTTCGAAACTTGTTCTTCTGTGATGGGCTACCTTACTTTCTTTAACTATCCTGATGTAATTAGGTATTGAAGTTTAGACAATGATCATTTTGAACTATGAAGTTCATCTTCAGGTAAAACATAAGTGACCGTGCGCAAAACGTGATAAAAAACGTAACATGAGAAAATGATAGACCTGAAAATAAAATAAATCATAAAACAGAAACTAAAACAATAATGTAACTTCGCACGTTTTGTAATTGGTGCTCCATCCAGCAGTGATGGTCTTAACATCAAATACCTAATTGCAGCCAGACCCATGAAGAAAGTAAATTAGTATCTGTACTGTAATGAGGCATCCTAATAAAGTGACAAATCACCTCAAATTGTTCTCCTCTGACACTAGTCGGCGGAGAAGACTCAACCTTTATCATGGAAAAAACAAAATTGGCTCCCAACTGACGAGTCCTTTTTTAATTTCTTTTTTTCCTGTAACATTGTTGTTTCTATTGTTCTTTTTAACCAAGGACACAACCAAAACTCAACATGGTGCAAGTCAAATTTCCATTGGAAGTCTAATCTTTGGATATGTTTCTTATCAGAGAAAACTGATTTGATTGATGGATAAGGTCATTAAACTGTCTTAATATTTAGATCTTTCAAAACTCATCAGATTTTTGAAATTTTTTAATATTTCCTCGTTTTTCCCGATTTTTTTTTAAGAAAATATAGCATTTTTTTTTGTTAAAATATAAAATACATTAAAATACAAACAAATCGGAAAGAACAGGTAAAAAGTAAAAAATTCTAACACTGATCCCACATCAAGTCAAATTCCAGGGTTACAAATTGTTTTTGGTCGCAACCAAATTGTGGAAGTGTCCTAAAAATTGTGGAGGCTGAGAGATTTTTACTTTTGTTCCAAGCTTTTCAGAGTTACAACCCTTTTGGAATAATGCAAATCCGGCAAACATTAAAAAATTATCCACAAAAATGTAACGAAATTTTGATCAGTGCATTGTGTTGACCTTTCAGCACAAACTCAAAAAGTTGCAGAGGCCCTTGAACAATTTGTAATCCTGTTATAAGCTTTTCCAGGCCAAAATATTTAGTTAAGTAATGTCAATAAATATCCAATTTGATGCTGTCAAAATCTCAGGTGACTGCTAAAAAGGAGCCAACAGAGTTTTATTTTTTCACCTGGTTTACTACTGAGCATACGACCATCATAGAGACGAACAGTGCTATCGGCTGATCCTACAGCAAATTGATAGGGAGCCCAAGGGTTAACGGCTAGAGCTGTGACTGCGCGCCCGCAATTGATTAAAACATCCTAAAAAAGACACGACACAATGTTTCTGTTAAAAAATGAACCTAAGACATAAAAACGGGAGTAATATTTAAAGCACGAACACTGGTGCTAGAAAAAGCAGCGTCTAGCAAAGGGAATCGAGTCACATTAATTAAAAAAATTACTTAAAGTAAATTACTTTCTTAAATTGATTAATTAATTTAAACTACTTGAGGTAAAGATGGATTTAAGCTTGTATTTGAACTTCATTTTGCCATAAGGAGCTACGATTTCTGGCTTATCCTAAAAAGCAATCATCTGCAGTAAGAAACTAATGACAAGAACAATGGTTCCTAAAAAAAGCCTAAAATAGTGATTCCTTTTCACAGAATGCAGAATAGTAGACCTTTAAATTCCCCCTGCCGCCAGCTATTCATCCAGAAGGAGCTCCTTACCCTTCCCTCTATTTACATTTTTGAGGGTATTAAATTTTCCACCTTTACTAATTTGATTAATCCTGAACATCTCTTTCCTGCCCACTTGTATAATAGCAGATATAAAAACATAAAAAATTCGAAGGTCAGGCTGTCTTCAACAACACCCAGCGTGAAGTACTCATTAATCCAAATGCTTAATGCCCTTCCTTGGGAATTAAAACCTATCTTTCGTGATGGCTGTGTAAATTCTTTTCTAAATAAGCTTTTGCAACGTCTCCTCAAAAATGCATTCTACAGAGTCGATGGGTTTGCTGAATGGCGTAAATTTGGACACCCTCCTGGATGAATAGCTGTCCTCATTTTTTTCTTCTTTTTTGTTAGCTGATCATCTTTCTCTGTTATTTAGTGCCCGGTTGATTGTGATATTTAGATCTTCGCTGAAATGTAAAATTTTCTTTTTGTCCTTTCTGTACTTTGACGTATACCAAAGCCTTGCGGCTCTAATGTATTGAAATGAAAATAAATAAATCAATAAAAATATTTTTCTACCCAAAATTTGAAGTTTAGAACAAATATCTACTGTGTAGAAATTGAGTTTGAAGATTTTTTTTTTTTTAATCAAGCCATACAAACGACAATTTTGTAATAAAAAAACCCAATTTCTGGCTCATTTTAGAAATGAAATATGTGTCATTAGTTTTCCTATAAAAAACATACCAAACTCATTAATGCCAAAGATGCCGATCCAAATGGTGAATTCATTGCAAAGAGAGTCTTCTGAATAAATGCGTATCATTTGAAACAAAAAAAAATGGTTACCTCGGTGCATTGCTGCTTGCTACATTTTTGTTTCATCCTTAAATCGAAACATCGTACTGTTGAGTCTTCTCCACAGCTGAGAAAAGAATAGGGATCATTGGGAATTGTTACGAGTTTATAGGTGGTCCCAGAGTGACAACTAAATATGTTTTGGTGAGTTTCATTCAGGCGTGTCACATCTGAAAGGATTAAAATTAAATTCAAAAATTGAACTTCCAATAGTGTGGTGCATGGATGCAGAACAATTTTAGTTTTCTCATTTAAAAAAAAAAAAAAAACCAATCTCCCCAAAAATTACATTTTATGAAGTGCAAAACGATGGTTGGACGTTTCTGAGCACTTTTTATACCACAATGTTTGTAGTAAAATCCTCTGGACAGTGGTATCAATAACTCAGTATTTACCTTTCCAGTATAAAGGTCTTACAGTTGTACGTACACTTCAAAATTATGGTTTTACTCTAAATCTTATTGAGAGAGCTCCTTCAATAAAATTCACTAAGACTTATGATGATGGCACACAGAGAAAAAAAAAACATTTTTGGAGTCAAACCTGAGTATAAGATCAAGCCATCACCGGCACAAGAGACAATACGGCTGTCATTTGTGCAGGGTAAAAATTTTGCACAGAAGATATTAGCTCGATGACTTGTTTTGTAATCAGTTAAAATCTGGAAATGAAAAATAAAAAATTGATAATGATTATGTACTTTTAAAAATATATATATATAATAATTCTGGTGCTCATGAAGTAAAATTTGTCTGAATAATTTGAAAAAGTTACGAGCTGTCAATTTCAGCAGTATACTGTGAGTACTTGTAGTTGGTGTGATGAAATTTTTCTGGTAGCAAAAAAATATACGGCTTTTAATCACAGACATTTTTACAAAAATTGCTCTGGAAGCAGGTGCAGAGTAACCTCTCTGAAAACTTGCAGATGACATTTCTGAAACAGCATTTTGGAAGTGATCAATCATTACGCTGATAAGCACAATATATTTGCTTCAACGCAAAATTATTTTAGAAAATCAAAAAGTTCAATTAAAATGTTAAAAAATATCATTCATAGGGAGAAAAAAAGCTAATCAAAATCTAGCCAATGAAAAGCAGACAGTCGAGGTGACATAGCAAGGCTATGCCTGAAGCTAAGGCCAGTTCATCGAGAAACGCCCTTGCCTGGCTACATCATGAAAGCTCACCAATTGGACTACATTTTGCAATTTGGAACGATAAATTCTAGCCCGGTCTCAAAATAATGTATGTGCCATTAGTTTCCATATGAGGACATATATGTAACAACAGCGGTCGCTGACATCCGCCATTTTTAGGACAATCGCTTTTTTCGAAATCTAGAGCCTCCAAAAATGCTTGTGCAAAGTTTTAGACTTCCAGCGCAATTTTTCGGCGAGATATGAACTGAAAACCATGTTATTTGTAAAAACAGCGGATATGAGAATCCACTGTTTTCCCCGGCCGGCGCGGCAGGACTTTGTGGAGATTTGAACCCACTTGCGATAACTGCCTGCCCACTGGCCATGGGCTGTAGCTGACACTCAAATTATACGTATCGGGACCGTCTCGCCAGAATTGTTGAATTTTTAACTGATTTTATGATTTTTTCCTTGTTTTTGTTGTAAAAGTTACAAACGGTTTAGTTTCTTGATAAATTTTGTTAAATGACTCAGCATTGACTTACTTTTAGGTCATTTCAATCGTTTCACCAGCCTTACCCTTCCTGAAGACTTAGTTTCATACATAAAGCAAAAAAGTGTTTGCAGTAAAAATAGCGGATGTCACATTTTTTTTCGAATCGCTGTTACCCTTCAATTTTTCACTTACATAGATCGTAAAACGTGTGTTTTTTATCGGAAGAGTTGCTTTTCATGAAAATCTTTATGAGAATCCTCTCGGTTCTACGGGCGGAAAAGTGCAAAGCTTCAAAAACTTCAAACGTGATTTTCTTACAATAAGAAAACTCGACATCCGCTATTGTTACAGATAAGTCCTCATATGCACATAAGTGTTTTTCCAGAAGAGCCATAATTTATAGTTCCAAATTGCAAAATGCAGTCCAATTATTCATATGGTTTTATTTACTTTCAAAACGGAGTTTCTCTGTCTTGAAGGCTAGTAAAAATATCAGAAAAATTCCTGGAAGCTCATTTCACTCGATGCTTTCAGGAAATAATTAAAAAATGGATACCACTGACCCATTATGTTGTTGTTAGTCAACAATTTTTGATGAATAAAAAAATGAATGAATAAGGCTTTCGCTTTCATACTGAAGCTTACCTTGTGATTGTAAGCGTTGGTCACAATGAGATGTTGATCATCGCTTCCTGACAGTAATAATCGACCATCATCGCTCCAGGAGATGCAATTAACACAGCCATTGTGAATGGCAAGCTTCTTTAGCAGACCTAGCCGTTGCACAAAATCTTTGCTGCCTGCAAATTAAGATTCACAATGAAAAACAATAAAAAAAACCCTGTCCTTCTCATTGGAAATGAATTTTCCCCTCTTTCTTAGCTGATGTGGAGCTTAATCAGCATTGACGGAGCATTTCTAGAGGTGCAACTGCATTAGGATAATTGAATCGACGTATGCGAGAACGTCGGTGTCCAGGACAGTGTCTTGTGTTTCAGAATTTGAGTGGACAATTTCGTTGTAACTTAACAACACAACGATGGTTTAAGACATTAGGAATGAAGAACAATTTTTTATGAATAATCCCCTAAGTGTAATTAAACGTTTACAAGAGAGATCGATCCTATTCATCAATGTTGTGGGACAAAAGAAACCCACCGCACTTATGAAACCCTGTATTGGACAAGGGACGTTTTCGCATTCGTCGATTCAATTATACTCCCAGAAAAATGTCACTTGTTGATGGAATTAGGATTCACATAAAACAACTTGGTGTTTCTCCAGCAGAACAAACTTTTTGAGGACAGAACAAGTTATGTTACCTCCTTAAATCCACAAAACTTACCTTCAGGTAAAACCCTTATAACTAGCCCATTACATAGCAACTATACCAAGTTGACACATCGTGCTAAAGCTTGACTTCTAGCCTTCTTTCGGGGGGGAGTAAGTTGGCTGAGACAAACACCGTCAGCTAGTTGGGCTTCAATATATAAAAACAAAAATTACAAAAATCAGTGTAGTCTGACTGTCCATGGGTTCCAGAATCTACGAGCATGTTCATATTTTAGAATGTGACAACCACCAGCTAGTCAACTAAAAATAGCTCAAAACAAACCATGTTTTGTTACGATCGACCTTCGGGATAAAAATAGCCTATGCCTCGCACTAAATTGACATGCTCAATGAAATCGGATTTCTTTGTTCCAAAGTGGATGGATTTTTCAGATTTTAGGAAAAAGATACCTATGCCCCTTGATTAGGAAGTCTTAAAACGATGGAGTTCACTGGTGATACTTGCAAAACAAGAAGAGGATTCATGAATTAAGATAAGTCTCCAACGACAGAATTCTGAGAGCATCTATAAATCTAATTGCATTATGCCTGTATACAACTGGAAATGGCATACCTTTCGCGGCATTATGAAGCTTGGTCCTGAATGAATAAGATTCATACGGTTGACGATAGACATGGTGAAAGATACTTCTAGTAGAGGATTTCCTTTGAGACATGGAAGAAAAAATAATTTTATTCTTAACCTAAATCGAACACGCAAAACAAACCGAGTGACAAAATGCGACGAAAAATGCGAACGGTAATGAGATAAATAAGAGGCAACAACCAAACAAACAGAAAGAGGGAGATTAAAATATAAAATTCGCAAATTGTGGGTCACTAAAAGTATAATTTATATCAATAAAACTATCGCTCGTTTGATAACCTCCTTTGGGAACGACACAATCAAAACAACGAAAAATTCCATTCCTTGTCGACTTTCAACCATTGACGTACTCTCAACGGCACAAACAAGGAACGCGGCGGGAGAAGTGTTCCGAAATGCAAAATATTCGAAAAGCAGCGCGAAAATTTGAATATGCGCTCAATTTACTTGAAGCGCGCTGAAATTGAAAAAATGAAAATTTCATAAGCCGCCCTGCGCCGTCCAAAGCGCGCATGGCGCACGACGCACCTCTCCTTACTACACTTCACACTTCATCTAGCGTTGAGAGTTCACTAATCCCCTCGCACGACCAGTGTGTAATTTTAAAAGTGGAAAATTTAAAAAAAAATTGACACGATACACGAGTGTCACCGCCTGGGAGTTTTCCCCCAAGAAATCGCTCACCACTCGCCCGCCGGAAAAGCCGCGGCGTGCTGCCAGCGCGAAACGCACTCCGACGCCTACAAACCTAAGGGGCTACTTCACGCAATGCTTGAAGTATCCCCTTAGGTTTGTAGGCGTCAGTGCGCGTTTGGAGCCGGCAGCATGCCGCGCCGCGCCGCAGCGTGCTGTAAACTTGCCCATAATTAATAGGTCAGGGTGTTAAAATGTAGGCAATATGGAAAAGTGCCTATATCCGTAGTCGAATAGTTATTGCAAATAACTCTCGCCTTGCGTTTGGTGCAATACGAGAAGTATTCATGCAGTCTTGTTTGACTAATATGCGTTTGACGCCGACCGCACTGTTTGGCGCAATGCGTGAAGTATTCCTGTAGTCTTGCAGGCGTTGATATGAGTTTGACGCCGACCGCACCGTGTTTGGCGCGATTATTTGAGCTCGCGTTAGGATAATCGCGGCATGAACAATGGGGCTTAAAGGCCCACGTTGTATTTTGACGCCATATAAGCATTCCAGCATTGCCTCGTTTCTCCCGATAAAATATTTTTTCTGAGAAAAGTTAGGAAGGTTCTCTAGGTTCTCTTTTATAGATCGAATGGACAATTAAACAAGGTACGAATTTAAGCACCCTGATACATGATTCTTCACCAGAATTTCACATAGAACACGATTCGATTTCGTCACGGACTTTGGGGTGGTCGAACCGGCGTGCGATATATAATTGATTAAGTCAAATATCTCGGTAGATTTTGAATTTTAAGCCAAAAAAAAAAAAGAACGATAGGCCCTGCATGTGAGCCTTATGAATTATTCTAAAATAAAAAAATAGAAATGAAAGCAGGATCCCAGCCTGTCTCTAAATAACTCTCGCATTCGATACAATTATCGATATCTATGTCGATCGTGAGGTTTTCTTTTTAAGGATCCAGCTTTCATTTTTCTGAATTTTGCCAACTTTTCGTTTTAAAATTATTCTTAAGGCTCATGCGCAGGGGCTACCCTTTTTTGGCTAAATATTCAAAATCTACATAGATATTTGATTTAATCGATGCGGTATATCGTACGCTAGTTCGACCACCCTAGAAACCAAGACGAACCACCTTAGAGCTGAGACTTTTAGAGCAGGACTCAATGAATTTTTCAGGGATTATCAATTAATGATTTAATTTTTCATGCCACTCATACGTTCTTGTTGCTCCGCTTTGCCTTATATGTGTGATGGAAATAATTTTCTCCTAATTTTTTTACTTTCAACTTTTACGCCGATTGTGAAAGTCGCAAAAAAAAAAAAAAAAAAAAAAAAATCCATTTTCGGCGTTGCAGATTTTGTTCGCATTTCATTTTACCTGGAGGGAAACTGACGAAAATTATTTCTTGGAAACTTTGCTGGAGATTTTATCTTCATATTGTGCGAAATATTCTGAGATATTAATGGAAACTACCGTCTACCTGTTTCTCCTTAATAGTGGAGATTGTGGAGCGTCAAGATCGTGCATAGTTTTTTGTGACTTTCGCCATCTATGAGAAAAACCTCTTGATTGAACAGCGTATCGGACCTACGGATCGTTCGGGTGCACAATGAACCGAATTATATTATTCGTTCTCGCTCTGTGCGTGAAAGCCGATGGTCCCCGGTTGAAGAAATGTGCATATTTGATTACGGTTAGTTGAGTCGAGAGTGTTCGCTCAACATGTATTCCTCGAGGATACAAACAGTCAAATCGTTCCTTGCAGCATTGTTTTTTTTTCTTTTTTTCTTTTTTTTTAGGGAAAGGAAAGCTGTAGCAGACTTCAATGAAGTTGCGACATGTTGAAGAAATGCTGCGAACACAAGCAGCCGACCAATAGTCAGTTTGATCTAATTTTAAGGGGGTATACTGATCAAAGACTGCCCCCCCCAAAAAAAAAAAAACCCTTTATTTTGACAGCCAATGAACCTTAGATTAACAAGATATGATTAATTCTTTCCTGGCTCGATACATGTCGCAGGAAATTAGCAATCGCTGACAAGTCTACAAAGTGTTGAATGAAAAAATGTAAAAATTTAGAAGTAAGAAAACAAGGTAGACAGCATCGATTGTTATGCGTGGAATTCAAGCAGACCTTCTGTTCTTTTTTAATGAGTGATACCAACCAGCACTCTGGTGAGTGCCTGTGAAGGAATCAGTGACCTTTGTCGCGTCCCGGTGGGCAACTAAACTAACTTTTTGGCAAGGCGGAGAGTATCACCGGAATTTGCAGGCGTTCCAAGCCTTGGTTTCAGAATTTCTTCACCAATGACACCTTTACTAAGTCGATACATACGTATATTGCAATTGGATGTATTTGGGCAATTCTACGAAGACTGTCCAATTCCAGTCATGGTCGTTTTATTTGTAAAATGTGTGATAAAAAGTCTCACATTTCACCAAATGTGGTGTAAAATGAGTGTTTTTAATGAATTATAACCATTACAATTATGTAAATTGATAGATTAAGCTTCATTTTCAGCTTTTACTGCTTCAAATGTCACGACCGTCACTGTCATGATTGGTAGGTTTGCAATGTTCACAACCTCATAACTTTTTTTTGGTCTGATAATTTTTTCTGATTTCCCTGGTAAAAATTGGCAGTAGATTTTGTGTTCCAAAATACCATAGACCTACGGCCGGCTGTAAGATTTCCAATAGCTTCTATAGCCGGCTACACGATTTCTTATAGCCTTTTATAGCCGATGGCGATTAAGCAACTCACAGCCAGGCGATAAAGTGTATGCTAAACGTCACAAATTACGGATGTTAGGACTTAGTGAGTTTTTGGACCACTGCTCTCTTTTTGGGCCGTAGTATCTTGATATATTTTGCGAGGAAAGCTCCGTACTTTTGATGGATGCCTGCCATTCCTAATATATTAGAGCGCCTTCAGTTTCGTATGATACTGTGCAATACCTCTGGTGTGAAATAGTTGCTTCAAGCGCCGTGGCACGCTGCGGTGCGGCAGGCGGGCAGCCAGCACGAGACGCGCATTGGCGCCTACAAACCTAACAGGGATACTTCAAGCGTTGCGCAATACGTGAGGTTTCCCTGTTAGGTTTGTAGGCGCCAGTGCGTCGCCGCTCCGCTTTGTGATAGGCTCTAATATTTAATCTGGCGGAGTCAGCGTTATTCAACTCATGATTTTGAAATGTTTGCACATCCTGTATGGATTACATATTCTCGTTTTAATTGATGAAAAAAATATGTATTAAAGGAAAATATAACGTGTATTTTGTAAGTATTAAGGTGGTTCCGTATCAAACTTAACAATTTTTTATAGCCTTTTATAATCGATGGCAATAAATCAACAGCCAGGCGATAAAGTGTAAAGCCCGGTGATAGGAACTATAGCCCGGCTGGCTAATTTTTTATCGTTTCGTATAGCCCGGCCGTATGATTTTCTCCGCATTCTACAGCCAGCTGTATGATTTTCTGTAGCCTTCTTTAGCCGGCTATACAAATTCCTATGGTATTTTGATACGCTGCTTTTATCGCCAATTTTTACCAGGGTTTTGTACTAATTTCATCAAAAATACTTGCAGTTGAGTAGCCAATGCATTTGATTACGAAAAAAATTTGTCATTCACCCAAAATATTTCGAAAATTAAGCCTGACACCATGTCGAACTAAGAAAAAAAAACTCTGAATCCAAAATAACATAGTTGAATTTTCAGTTTTTGGGAGGTCAAATTGGACAGTTTTCGTAGAATTACCCATTTATGCTAAAAGGAACTATGTTACACGCAATCCCTATGCACATAGAACCTTTCAGAATAAATATGTTCAATTTGACAAAGTTAACGGGCACGATACTCGCAAATTGCCAGAGATTGCTGCGACTGCCTGCGACGTATGCAGCAAAAGTATTTTGTATCTGTGTTTATAATCCACAGGTATGCATTAAAAGATTCCACGTCTCGAAGAAAACAAAATAACACAAGGTGCATTGATAAAAATTTATTTTATTAGATTCCATGATGAATAAAGAATCCAACAACAAAATCTTAAGAGATTGTCTAGCAAAGACAGAAGTACAAGGGAAATAGAGAGACACATTTTTAAATAGGCATAGAGTGACCACCGGGAGACAAAGAAAGAGCAACAACAAATATCCTATTATTGCTGAAAATAAGAACGTTGGCAGGCTCGGTAGCCGTTGAGAGCAGTGGTGTGGCGTGAATTGCGATGTATCGATTGTTCAGCCATTTGAACTAATGGTAAATAATCGATTATTACGGTGTTCGCTGCGAACAACCCTAATAATCGATCCTTTTCCATAGGTTTAAATGGAATAACAATCGATACATCGCAAAGCACGCCACACCACTGGTTGAGAGTATTCTTAAATTTTAAAAATTCAACTAACTTACTCTATATAAGGTAAAGTTAAGGGTATTGCGTCCATCCCCTGAACTCAAAAATGGACCAAAGTGTTCTCTCCGTGGATTATTGGTGACAAAAAATACTCAAGAGAAATAAATTACTATTTACAAACTGGTTGGGGTCTAGATTATCATAGTCTTCTTACCTGTTGATTGAATTGTTGATATGCCATTGATATTTCACTCGGTGATGGCTCACTCGCAATCTTACGGAGAAACGAAATATGTAACGGATCTGTAACTCACTTAGTAGTATGACTAATTGCTTCCAGATCCTGGTATCGTTTTCAGAGGTTAATACTTCAGCAATTTTAAAGTTGCTGCTTACTTTCATCTGAGGATACGTACACTTTTCAACTGTCTTTAAGATTGAGGGATTGAGACATTTTTCGTGAGAACGAAAGGAACCGATGATATTTAGGTTGAGAGTTCAGGGGAATTCTAAATACAGAGTGGTCTATTTGCACAGATTTAGATATTCAATTTGTTTGAGCGGTAAAAATAAAAGAAAAAAATCCTAATCGAAGATGTTGGTGAAGTAAGCTCATTCAATGCTGCTAAAATATTCGTAAAATTTGTATTGTTTTGTTTTACATTTCACTATAGTAGAAAAATAATATTTTGTCATGCTTTTATCATTCAAGAAATGCGATTCTATTGAACCTTTAGGTAAAAAATAAAATAAAAAATAAGGTCGCAATTGCTCCCAAAATTCAGTAAGAAATGCACAGTCCCGAAACATAACGTGTCATCATGTCATCTAAATGAGCTTGCTTCACACTAACCTCGAGAGAGTCGCTAAAATTTGTAATTTTTTTAGGGGAAATCAAATGATAACGATTAAAATATAGGTATCACAGTCTTTGAGCACCATGTCGTCGCTTGAAAAACAGGGTCTTATGGCATGGCGTGAATAATTCTATCGTCAATGTATATCACACATCAAAGAGAAGTGCAACCCTTTGAGTGAAATACATCGCATCCTACGATTTAGGTGTAGAAACGAAGTAAGTAAAAAAATATTAAATGAGTAAATGAAATAAAATGGATAATCAACTCGATTGTGTTTTTGGTCCGAAATGACTCCCGTTTTCTGCGGCTTCGACATGGTTCGATATGACGGGTTCTCTTATACAGCATAACTAACGAGTAAACGAGTGAAGTCATATAAAATTATAAATAACAATAAAATTGCAGAATCTGACTAAATACTTAATCTATAAAGATGAGCACCAGACAACGATTGAAAGGTACTCGTGAGCAATAAAAATATATCAATAAATTAACAGAAACTAAGATGAAGTGATGACAAATTTGCAGGCGATAGTCCGCAAATCTTAGAGTGAGCGCACGAGAAGGTACGGAACCCTGCAACAAAGAATTAAGACAAGTTTGGATCAATTTAGACAGCCGTAAACACCCCTAAAATTCGAAAAGGCTCATGGAAGGATTTAAAATTGAGATTCACTCATCGGTGAAATGAAGAGAAAAATCATTCCGGTAGAATTTGTTCTAAAATTCGCCTTCATATGAGTGAATAGGCAACACGAGCTCTTACACGAGCGAATAAAGGTAACCGTGTAAAATTAAGGAAGCTGAAGATATTCTGTTTGCGGGGCTACTATAATTGTTTAACACTTAAAAATGTTTGAAAAAGTCTTCAAAAAAACTCTTACAACAGTAATGATTAAAAAAAATTGCATAAATATAACTTGAAAAATAACCGTCAAGGGTCACCTGAAGAGTAACTTTTAACAGATTTCAAGAGTTTTTGAAAAGTGCATTTCAGTGGCCATTGCCTCTGGTTACAGGATCTAAGATGCGATAAGCAATATATAATTTCAAAATCCTCAGCTAATTTTTAAGAACATTTTTGCCTAGAATTACACTTTTGTAATTTGTTTTAGAATCATTCATTATCTCCCGAAAAATATTAATTCCTGTATGTCAAATTTGTTTTCGTTGGGCCCTACGATCCCGACGAAAGGCCTAAAACAACCAGGCAGAGAGCGGCACAGACGCCGCAATAGTATTCCTAACGATAGCAAAAGTGCGAAAGCACGTTTCTCCGTTTGTAACGTTCCAGACTTCCTGTCATACTTTGATTTTTCCTTAAAAACTAAAATTAACGTATTTTCCAGAAAACTTCCTTGATTATTCTTCTCTGTCAGCAGAATATTCTGAATGAATTTTAAGCCATAAAATTGTTGTTTTTTTCCACTTCAAAAAAATAAAACAGGGGCAGAAATTTTAAAACACTGCAATGGATTTACGAGGTTTTGCACCTCCAATATAGCTATACGTATAGGTACTCTAGTTTCGTCCGTGGATTTTTTAAACTCGAAAATGGTGTTTAGGGTCATGTGTTGTCCTAAGTACGCGGCGTACAGTGGACCGAGTCAATCAGAGAGGTCGGACATGACATTCTTGACTAAATCTGCAAATTTTGATGTTTATTTCGTCAAATTTTAAATTTTAAGGGGTGCTCCTGGAAGAAAATTTTACGAGAAAACCGATGGAACCAATTTTGGTACCTCAAAGTTTGTATAAACGGAGTTATGAGCGTTTAAAGTTTCCAAATTTAGTCCGACCTGTCCTATTGACTCGATCCACCGTGCGGCGGCGGCTCGTCACTCGTCATTTAAAAATGAGTCGTGACTATGTGTTTTGGATTGAAGTGGGCCTCATTTGTATTCCGAGAGACCGGGTCGATTTGGCCTTAGATGTTGATAAACTAGGCCATCAAATCTACGGCTCCGTGCCGTATGATTAATTCGGTTTACGTTGCGCGTTGCTCAACAGTTGCCGATTGTTTGGATGTCCATTGCCAATTGTATGCAAACAAGTATTTACACCTGCATCGCGGATCGACAAGGATAAAAGTAGTAGTAAACTGCAAGTGCGTGATTATTGGAGAGAAAAAGACTTGATTTAAGCAGAAATTTTCTTGAATTGGTTGCCAAGAAGAAATTTTCTTAAATCGAGCGTAAAATCAGCGTATCAACGGTGTGTTGTCAGTTCGTCACCCGCCGGCCAAAGTATCACAAGCGCCATGTGAAGTTTCAAAGTTTCTGTCGCCATTTTATTTTTTTACAAAAAAGATGTTGGTAGAATCTGTTTGAAAATTTCACTGAATTTTATCGGCAGCACTCAGAAAAATCAGTGAAATTTTTGGACAGTTTCATTGAACAATTTCTCTGTAAAAAAATAAAATGGCGGCGGAAATTTTTAAACTTCACATGGCGCTTGTGATCCTTCGGCCAGAAGGTGACGGTATGAGTCCCCAACCACGTACCTATCTTGTTTACAGTGTTTGAAGATCTCCGCTCCTATCATATTGTTTAAAGTAGAATAAATCGGCATTATTCCTTGAAGTTTTTGCAGAATTTCCTTCGTACAGAGAAAAAAAATCAAGGCAGTTCTTAAGATTTGCAGTTGTGTAGTTTTCCATTTAAAAAATAAGGTATGACACGAAGTCTGCAATATTGGGATCCGAGATGCGTGGTTGCGAACTTACGCACCGTCGTCATGTCAAGAACAACGTAGTTCATGACAAGCAGAAATATGCTTGGTTCAAACGGTTTTACTTTTGATTCAAGAGAAAATCATCTTAAAATGGAATTCACGTCATTTTCCTTCCAGTAGTTGCTGAGGGAACCGTCCCCCCCCCCCCAAAAAAAAAAAAAAAAATTGCGTCATCTAGTGAGTTAATATTCTACGGATGTTAAACCCTCTTTGCCTCTGGTGCCACAAATACGGAAAACTTACCTTTAAAAACGGGGGAAAACTGAAAAAAAAACCCGGAAAAATAAAAAAGAGGCCAAAAGATATGAGTAACTTCTAATGGAAATAAGTAAAGAAATTTATTTCACTCTACTGATGTTTTCCACAGCTTTAATAACTTTTTACGTGAGCCCCCTTAAAACTCCCTTAATCACAAATCTGACTTGGATCACGTTAAGCAGAAAGACACCAAGCCATATCAGCTATTGCCAAATTCAATTGGGCACTTAAATTTTTAACTTAAAAAGGTTGTGCGGATTTTTGTGCAAATTTCAGTGAATTGTGTGCATAGTACGAAGCAAGTTCCCTAAAATTTTCACAAGAATCTGCACAAACCCTCTCTTGTAAAAAATTGAATCGCCCGGTTATTTGAAAATAGCTGATGTGGCTTGGTTCCTTTCTGCTAAAAGCGGTCTACTAATAGAGCTGATTAAGAAGCTATTATGAAGCTCGTTTTCCTAATTCAAGTCAAGGAACGCCTTTTAAATTTCAGCNGGGGGGGGGGGGGAGGGTACCACTGAAATTAGGTTAGACTTACCCTGTGCAATGAGCTTCAAGATCCGGACAGTCCGAATCCTCTCGAACGTAGCTGAGAGTTAGCAGACAAGTTGAGAGAGGTGGAGATTTTGGCGATGAGCTATCATAATCGAAGATCGGTTGCGCAGCCGTGGTGCATACGGTACTCGATGTACTTGATTCCGGTGTTGTGCCAATAGTAAAGCGCGATTACAATGAATATGTGCCACCACTGGTGAGAAGACCCGAAGAGATCCACTTTTCCTGAAATTATCAAACCATACTTAATCTTTGGGTCAAGGAATTTGCCTTTGAAGCCTGAGAATTCAGAATAAAAACCAATGGTTTGTTTCACAAATCGTCACCTTCCACTCGTTCCGGTCAAAGTATCACAAGCGCTACGCGACTTTTCAAAATTTGCATGACTCTTGTGATACTTCGGCCAGAAGGTGACGAAATGTGCACATTGTGCACTTCTCTCTTGTGTTTACACAAAGGTCTGTAGTCCATGACAAACTGATTCCTCCTCTTCTCCTGTTTAATCAACATGCGCCCCTAACAATGTGTCACCGATAATCTCATCATAAAAGTATAATTCCGTTGGTTTTCCTTGTATAGAATATTCTGTGAAGGAAAAATTTTAAATTCTGGAAAGGAGTTGTGGCGTTCTCGTTTCAGAAGACAGAATTGCAGCTGTACACTAAATCCTGGAAATTTATTTTATGCAAATGCATGCATATACCGTGTAAATCCTTTGAGAATGCCCTCCTTGGTCCACTAGCGGCGCACAGTGGAAGGAATCGGTGCGGGAAACATCGGCAATGATGGGTAAAGTGTAAAAGATCATATCTTCGTCAATACGAAACGTAAGAGTTGAAAAATGACATAATCGATTTTACTTCAAGAAACACCGCGTAAATTTATTATGGGACGGAGTAAACGGCAAAATTTCCAGTTATCGTCAATTATATCATGTTCAACCTTTCTTTAAGTCGACGGTTTAAGTCCAGAACCACGCATCTCGTTTGCGGTGTTTAAAAATCTCCGGTTATATTTCATTTTTTAATTGAGAACAGATTGAAGTTTTCGCAAAATTTTCTTCGTACAGAGAAGAATTATCACAGCAGTTTTCAAGAAATGTTGAGTGGTTTTAAAGTTTAAAATTAAAGTATTACAGGAAGTCTGCAACGTCGCAAACCGAGATACGTGGTTGTGGATCTACACCTTCAATGTATCGTTTCACTGTGCGGGGTAGCATGTAAAATTGTAGAATTAAACTAGATAATCAACCCGGGATAATGATATTATCTCTTACCTTTGAAAAGGCACTCGGGAAAACGTGTGATGTAAATGGCAAAAGCTGCCGCACAAATTGCATACATTGTGATGACCCTCGGTAGTAGCATCTGCAATCAAAAGAGTGTATTTTCAGGAATTGCAGGAGTGTATTTTCAGGAGTGTATTTTAAGGTGTAATTGCATCAAAAGGCGGTATTTCACACAGCGAGAAGGAGTGGTAAATTCTACCAATCTCAAGTCGATTCTGCCAGAAGAATGGTTACCTGTACCAGTATATAGTAACGTTTACCTTTCTTCTGACAGAATTGACTGTAAATTGACGCTGTGTGAAAAACAGCGTGAAGGAATTGTAAATTTTACCAATCTTTTTTTTTCAGTGTATAAATTCATATTTATTGCATCTCCTGTGATAGTTGTTACGTACGTGACAGACGGCAAAACCACTTAGAAGTCAGGATGGTTTCAGGAATGATTTATTACCATGCAAAGAACACAGGAAGTTAAAACTCGGTTCAGTACTGATGCTCCTCAGTAGTAAAATCAACGACGGTAGTTATCCTAATGATCGAACGCTACTGGCTGGTTTCCTCGTATGAGGAATGTGTATATCAATGGCTGAAGTGCGGAACCACGTATCTCCATTGTGGTACTCTGGTCAAAATTTCCAATAGAATCTGTCTTCCAAAATACCATAGACCTACAGCCGGCTATAAGATTTTCAATAGCTTCTACAGCCGGCAACACAATTTCTTATGCTATAATGACGCTATAGCCGATGGCGATTAAGCAACAGCCTGGCGATAAAGTGTATGCTAAACGTTACTAATTACGGATGCTAGGACTTAGTGAGTTTTTGGGCTACAGCTCTCTTTTTTGGCCGTAGTATCTTGATTTATTTTGCGAGGAAAGCTCCGTACTTTTGAAGGATGCCTGCCATTCCTAATATGTTGGAGCGCCTTCAATTTCGTATGATACTGTGCAATACCTCTGGTGTGAAATAGTTGCTTCAAGCGCCGTGGTACGCTGCGGCGCGGCGCAATGCGTGAAGTATCCCTGTTAGGTTTGTAGGCGCCAGTGCGCCGCTGCTCCGCTTTGTGTTAGGCTCTAATATTTAATCTCGCGGAGACAGCGTTTTTCAACTCATGACTTTGAAATGTTTGCACATCCTGTATGGATTATTCTCATTTTAATTGATGAAAAAAAATATGTAATAGACCGTATTCGATAACGGTTCGATGTATCGTTTGGTTCAAAACAATAGCACATAACCTCAAACCAAACTGTAAGGATTTAAGTTGGAAAAGCTGAAAATGAGAAAATTCCTAACAATTTCACTTTAAATTGGCATTAGGTTTGCAAAAGAATAAAAAATCTGTTACAAAAGACCCGTTCTCTCAGATTTCTGAATTTACTTTTGAGGCTATGTTTATATTTTGAACCAATCGATATCGATACAATCTCAGCCGTTTGATGTATCGAATACGATCTATTAAGGAAAATATGATGTGCGTTTTGTAAATACTAAGGTGATTCCGTATAAACTTAAGAATTTACAAAGCACACGAATTTCTACACAATTTCTTATAGCCTTTTATGGCCGAAGGCGAAAGAGCAACAGCCAGGCAATAAAGTGTAAAGCCCGGCCATAGGAACTATAGCCCGGCTGTATAATTTTTTATCGCTTCGTGTAGCCCGGCCGTATGATTTTTTCCACTTTCTACAGCCAGCTATATGATTTTCTATCGCCTTCTTCAGTCGGCTATAAGAACTCCTATGGTATTTTGAAAAGCAGCTACTATCGCTAATTTTTACCAGGGTATTTAAAAATATCTGCTCCTATTTTATTTTTTCGAGGAATAACAAGCCAACTTTATTGTATGTACACAAAGTTTGTAACGTCGTAAAAGGAGATGCGAGGTTTCGCGCACAGCAGATTATCCATGCATTGTTTCAATCACTTAATTCTTAAAATGTTCAAATTCAAAAACTTCTTAATTTTTTTTTGTTTTTCTTAAGTTTAAATCTTTGTGGTTTCAATATTGAAACTCAATGTAATGGTCAAATTTGGCTAAATTATCCATCGTATATGTCTTGAGAGAGAAAAAAACCGCTGTAAAAATATCGGTATTCCCGGTAATCATACCAATCGCGGGAATTTGCGAGGATTTCACGAATCCCCCCTTCCCCCCACAGATATACCGTTCAACTGAGCACCGGGAGGTGAAGGGGAATCGCCCAAAATTTATGATCGGTATCTGCCGGAAAAATGAGAGATTTAACTGGTTACTTTTGATGCTTAAAAAACTGAGTTGCATAATTTTACAGTACTCTCCGAAAACCACTGGCGAAAAAACGAAAAATCATAACGAATGCAAATGACTGAAATGGATTGTGGAATCCCACGTACATGATTCCTTTTGATTTAATTCACCTGCTTATAATTTCATTCATATATACGTCCAAACCAGCTTCCTCATCACAAGATCATAAGTTGGTTTCCTCGAGAGGACTCTATTAGTGGCGCGGCGTGCTTTGCGATTTAGATTGATCTGTCATTTAAATCCACGGAAAAGGATCGATAAACAGGACATTCGCAACGAACACCTTAATAATCGATTCTTTACTATAGCTTCAAATGGAAATATATTGATGATCGATTATTCACGCCTCGCCACTGGACTCTACAGATCATTCGTGCGATCATCAAGATTCAGAGGGCGACAGTTGACAACTTACGTCAGCGTGACCAAAATGGTTGCATTCTGGTCCGCTCGGCGGCGCCTGCGGCGCTTGGCGCGTGCTCGTGTGAGTGCGTTACGAACGTGTGTGCTCTTGATCTTGACCTAGGTCGTTTTTGTCCTCTACATAACGTCATTGACTCAGGTGCGAGCTTAAACAATCCTGGAGCTTTTTTCTTGTTCCGCCTACTTTATTCCCATGTTTACCGTTCATTTTGCTCGAGGCTAGAGACCAAGAAAAATATACCTATCGACTAGAGTACCTGTATAGCGAGAGTATGGACAGATGTGAAACTCCGAAAATCCATCAGGCCTTCACCGATGCTTCTGCGAATAAAGTTAGGGCCCAGAAATGCAGCCAACCTATGAATTTCAATTATCCAGAACGATTTACTAATACTATTGTTACGAACCGTCGTTTATTAAGCACGCGTTTGACTCAGTTTTTGCATAAATTTACTCAATTTCGCGGAAGAACGGTCATTTCTGTACATTCTTGGCCATCATGGTTAGAATTGGAATCTGCAGACTGGCAGTGGAATTTTGTGCGTTAGAAGTTGGTCAGAAGGGTGGCTGCACTTTTGGGCCCTAAGCCCTCCATGAAGCGATCTGTCCATACTCTCGCTATACAGGTACTCTACTATCGACCAGTGGCATGGCGTGCTTTGCGATATATCGATTGTTCTGCCATTTAAACCTATGGTAAAGAATCGATTATTAAGGTGTTCGCTCCGAACACCCTGTCTATCGATCCTTTTCCATAGGTTTAAATGGTATAACAATCGGTAAATCGTAAAGCACGCCACGCCACTGCTACCGACGAAGAAAATACGAAACCATGTTGCTGTGCTAATTAAAAACGCCGGATGAGCATTCGAATGTTGCCAAATTTCCTCTGAGAAAATATTTATTTTAAAAGTAAGTTATGAATTTTTGTCTTTGACATTTTCAGAATTTTTAGATGAAGTTACGAACGAAATCCGCCAAAAAATCGGACGAGAACTATTCACAAATTTTCCTGAAAATTTGTAATTTGTCGGAGGAAATATGGCAACGCTTGATGGCTCATACGAGTGTCTTCCTTAGAAAGGCAGCATGAAACTAGCTTGCGATAATATAGTTTTAGCATGAAATTAAAATGAAAATAGTCGTTAAAATTTGCCCTCAACATTGAGAACAGTGAAAAAATAAAACTCCGAAGCTCCTTCGCTGAGCTCAAACATAATATCGTGGTTGATTTTATGTTAAAATCGGTCCAGATGAGAAAACCAATAAAAAATGTGAAAAATGGGTGGAAAGTTACTCACGGAAACTATGGGATTCTCCCAGCCACCCATGACAAAAGTCCAGTGAACTGTAGGAACAACACCGTATGCGGCCCAGGCGACGAACGTCAACATTTTCATGTTCGAGCTCACTTTCAGGCTAGGAATTTGCAGAGTCAGTGAGAATAAAAAGAGGATGAACACTGTCGTGAGGTAGAATTTTTGGATCCCCTGTAAAGGAAAAATAAAAATCTTTAATTTGATGAACATGGTAATTTCAGTTATTATTGATAACAATGGCTGAAGAGCGAAACCACGTACCTCTATTGCGGTGTTTCAAAATTTCCGCTTTTACTCTACTTTTTTGAAGAGAGACAAGTCAACTTTATAGCATGAAATTTATGTAGAATTTTCTGGTGACATGGAGTAAAAATCACGGAGTTTTCAAGGGAATACGGTCACTAGTTTCCCAAAAAAAAAAATATGACAGGAAGTTTGCAACGCCGCTAACGGAGATACGCGATTTCGTCGCCTATCGATGTGCTACTGTTCATACTGCCGTGTTAAGGAAGAACGCCGTATGAACATTCGAGAGTTGCCAAACTTCCTTCGATGAAATTTTTATTTTAGGAATATTATGAATATTTTTCCTTGGATTGTTGAGACGTTTTAGGTCAAATTACAAACAAAATTATCTACGAAATTGGTAAGCAAAGATTCAAACATTTTCCTGAAAATTAGTGATTTTCCGGGGAGAATTTGGCAACGCCGAAAGGCTCTTACGGCGTTTTGCCGTAGCAAGGCAGCATAGGAAAAGGGACCTCAGGCTACAAAAGGAAATCAAACTTGAGTAATTGATGAGTTTCCAGCGGACACTGTTCAATCGATGAACCAAACCGGAGTGCTTCCAGGACTTTATGTCCACCTACCTTTCGTCCAATAAATAAATGTCCATCGCTATTTATGTCCACTAAACGTTAAGTCCAGTCTTTATTAAGTCCACATGATTTAATGTCCAACCATGAATATGTCCAAAATTGTCCAAATTGTGGACAGGTTATGTCCACATTTTTTTCTTCTCATTTAAATGACCGGAACCACCTCAAAAATAAATGCATACTACTACTACCTTCATTCTTAAAAACATTTCATTCATGAATCAAGTCATGAAAGAGAACAGACTCTAAGAGCAGATAAAAACATATGTTCATGTGTAGAGTGTACGGATATGATAAGATGAAAACCAAAGCGGGAGCCTAGGAAACGCTCCAATGCCAAATTAAATATTTTTCAGTAACAGATGCAGTCAAAATTGAAAGTCCGCTTTCGCTAGTTATTTCGTGCGCCTTCAATCTTGTAGGACACTGTGCAACGCCTCTGACGCGAAATAGTTGATTAAAGCTTTGCGGCGCGGCAGGCAGCCAGCGTGACACGCGCACAGGCGCCCACAAACCTAACGGGATACTTCACGCGTTGCGCAATGCGTGAAGTATCCCGTTAGGTTTGTGGGCGCCAGTTGCGCCTGTTGCGCAACGCGTGAAGTATCCCGTTAGGTTTGTAGGCGCCAGTGCGCGTTCTGCGCTGCTAACACGCCGCTCCGCTCTGTGTTAGGGTCTAATATTTAAACTTGCGGTGTCAGCGTTTTTCAACTCATGATTTTGAAATGTTTGCACTCTCTGCATTGATTATTCCCTTTTAAACTGATGAAAAAGAAATATCGACGGTGAAAGTCGGCAATCACATAACTCGGTTTGCGACGTCGCAGACTTCCTGTCATACTTTAATTTTTAAACGGAAAACTACTCAACGGTAATTATTTAAAACTTCCGTGATTTTTCTTCTATGTGCGAGGAAAATTCTGCAAAAACTTCAAGGAATCATGTCCATCTGTTCTCCTTTAAAAAAAATAACATAGTTGCGGGGATTTTTAGACACCGCAAACGAGTTATGTGATTGCCGACTTGCACCGTCGATATGTACTACTGGATAATATAATGTGTTTTTTGTAAATATAATAGTGGTTCCGTGTCAAATTTAATGATTTCCAAAGCACTCAAATTTATTCTTTTATGTTTTGGGCTTTTACTGTGCTGCAGCGTGGTGTAAGGGCAACTAAACGCTCAAAATTGGACGTATTTGACTCAAGAAGGTCGATGTACAAATAAGCTAAAAACAAAAAATTTCGTGCCTCTTAGTTTTTTTCCTCTTTTCTTAATTTTTGTATAGTTTCTTTCATCGCAACTACGGCTCATTGAGATTCATATCGATGTCATTGCTTGGAAAAGGTTTTACAAATATTTACCACGTTTTAAAAATGTAGGTAAATGTTTTTAAAATGAAGTAATCAATTTCATTTAAAAAAAAAAAAAAGAATGTACTTTCAAGGCATATTTTATATCGGAAATTTCAAGGATAGAAATGAAACCAAGTATTTACCAAAGACAATTTGAAAATCAAAAGAAAAAATTAACATTTCATTTAAAATATGAGTTTCGATAACAACACCTCATTCACTCTTAATTTTCTCATTTCGATATTGTCAATATAATTTTACACACGGACTAAAATATAACGCTCGAATTTGATTTTAGTGGACTTTACATTTGTGGAATTAACTTAGTGGACGTTTAAGCAATGGACTTAACAGTAGTGTGGGCTTTAGAACTGTGGACTTAAAAATTGTGGACGAAAAGTCTGAGGACGTAGAAAAGTGGACATAAAGTCCGTGTACCACCGGAGTCATGGCGGTTTGAGGTTCCATGCTCAAACAACATAGTTTAAAGAGAAATGTGTCCCATGTTATAATCTGGACGTACTTCTACGAAACGGAACTTTGTGCATTCAGACATGAGCCCTGAGACCCATAAGAATACACGCATAACAGGGCTCACGTCATAATGCACATAGTTCCGTTTGGTAGAAATAAGTCCATTCTGTCCTGCGGGCTCATCTTCATTGTTGGTATATAAGTGCTTGTTAACGTGAGGGTATCTGACAAAGAAAGATATCCTTTCTTGTTCCCTCCGCAACCGCTAGAGATGAAGAAACTCTGTAAAAAAGCGTTTCGTTGGTCAAATTTTTGCTTCGAACGAGCTAATTTTTTTCTTGATGCATCAATTCACGTAAAAAACGGTTTAGTATTCATAGCCAAAAGTTTTTACGTAGTTTTTTTTACGTTTTTTTACCTAGTTCTTACGTAGGTACTAGCCCTGCCCAGATTCGCGTCTGGTCCCGCGACCCGCGAGTTGTAACCTAGTAAAAATATAGGTGATCCTATTTCAGGACCCAGCCTTAGAAGCGTTTTTCCCGTACACGCCTAGACATCACAAGCGAATCACAAGGATATTAGTGCAAAACAAGTTAGATAATTCAGCCACCCACCGGTTAAATGTAAGGGGAAAAAAGGAAGAAAAAAAAAGCTGAAAGTATGGATAGCATGAAGTTTTTTACCAGTTTTCTCTACTTATACGTGTTGCGGGGGGAAAAAATGGAACTTACTAACTGGGATACTGATACCCTCATAGTCCTTTCCTCTTTCTTGCGTAACATACGGAATACATAGAATAGCGCATATAATAGCGTATATAATAGTGCGACCTTCTATTTATGCAAAAAAAGGGAAAAAAGGATGAAATTGGCTGTCGAATGGTTTGACCGCTCGAGCAATGAGAAAACGAGAAACTACGTTCTTTTTAGTGGAAAAAAAGTCTCTGATAGGCGAATCTAAGTGAGGAAGACTGCCTTAAAAAACAACGATTGACCAACCTTTAAATGGATGAAACCCTGCTATATTCACTCTCGTGAATCGTCAGTTTCATAAATGGACGCATTTCTTTCAAACGGAACTATGTGCATTAAGACATGAGCCCTGAGACCCATAGGAATATGCGCACAACAAGGCTCACATTATGATGCGCATAGTTTGTTTGATAGAAATAAGTTCGAATGGTAAAATTTCGAACGTAAACATTAACTTACTCTGTGACACCAAAATGCGTAGTAGATTCCGCTCATGTATATAGCGAGTAAGCTCAAAGCTATGCCCAGGAGATCATAAGTGAGGAAGCAGTTGAAGTGCTTTTCGGATCGGCACGAAAAGATGTGGTAGAAACTTGACGTAAGCATACAAATCTGCAAGCGAGGAAAAAACCAGTTATTCAAAAAATTTAGGCGTGGGCGATCGTCTTCATTAATATAATCAAGGCTCATTAGCCGGATGACTTTTTAATGATGCGTAGCAATTAACTCATGCTGACCTCCGCGTTATGGTTTCCTAAAAATTCGGATCAAACGGACGGTGATATAATTGAGGAAGAATTATTGAGTAAAAAATTACAAGTTTATATTTTTTACCCAGGTGCATGTATCATGTTAGTAGGTACCTGGTAAAATTACGGAAGCCGCCATTTTTCCAGTAATATTCTGTGTTAATTTCAATCATTTTAGGGCAATAATAGAATCAGCGAGACCTCCAATGTTAATTTTCCAACTCTGAGTTTTGTTGGGTTGATAATGCTTTTCAAGGATTAATATATGTACAAATTGTGTTTACAAGTCCTCATGTTGGACTCATCTGAGTCTCTAATAGAGTCTTTACATAGCTCAATCATGATTGTGCTGCTCAGGTATTATTGACACAAAAGATTCAAAGCTAAAAAAATTTATAGTGGTTTCGCACGACAAGATTCAATTTAATTCAAGATTAATACCTTATGCGCAGCCTTAGCTATGATTTCTGGTGCCTCGGGGACTGATTTCTCTATTATTTTGAGTGAGAAAACCCTTTCAGTTTACCAATAGAAGAAGTAATGATCGAGAGGTATTACAAATGAAAAATTTGCATTACATTTAAAAGATGAAAAAGAGAAAATTCAGACATCAGTAATCTAGAGTACATCCCACATCATAGCATGATTTTTGAGAGCAATTGATAACTTACTCTTTTGCTTCAACGTTCGAGCATCAATAGGTATCGTATCACTCGTGTCATGGGGTTATGGAAATGCACATTTAAATGCGTTTTTTCTGAAAATCGCAAAAACACGGAAAAAAAATAAAATGTTGTTTTAGCATTTATAATCCTGGAAAAATGAGCGAGATGTTTCAAATGCTGATTTTACATTAAAAAATGCTAACTTTACTTTTGAATGCGTGAATTTAACCGTGGCCGTAGTTAAGTTAGGATTTTTTTAATGTAAAAACAGCATTCGAATTTTCTCGCACATTTTTTTAACATTATAAATGCTTAAGCAACATTTAATTTTTTCCGTGAACGTCTCTTAACTCCTTCAATCATTATAAATGGACCGCGTTAAACAGAAAGGAACCAAGCCACATCAGGTGTTGCCAAATTTAATGGGGCAGTTTAATTTTTTACATGAAAACGGTTGTGCGGATTTTCGTACAAATTTCGGTAAATTTTCTTCGTTTTTTTTTCTCGAAAGTACGACGTAAATTCCTTACAATTTTCAAGGAAATCCGCACAAACGTTCTCTCGTAAAAATTAAATTGCCCAGTTGAATTTGGCAGTGGCGGATGTGGTTTGGTTTCTTGCTGTTGAACGCGGACCAAATATCGATTCTACTGGTAAATTACTCTTATCAATGACCTTATCATTTTTCAGACAAATTTTTAGAGGACCTCTCCTACTTTCAAAAACCTCTTTTTCCGAGGTGCCCTGAAAGATCCGTCAGCTGAAGGTTTATGTAAAATCTAAATCCATCAAGAATTCAAAACAACTTAAGCTTTTCATCTTTTTTGGCATAAGATCAACTCTCTGGACAACACAATCCAGCGGAACTGTATTTAAAACTTACTTGAAAACAGCCTAGTAGGAGACCAACAATGAATTTATCTACTGGTGAGGCATGGAAGTTCAGCAATAGTAGATCGTAGAATGTGAGACCACAAAACAGCATCCATCCTAATACGTGACTCCATATGTTTATTGTTTCGTTTGTCATCCAGAACATACTGTGAATGAAAATAAACTATTGAAAACCTACAGAGGCGAGGTGGGTAGATTTGTTGACATGCTGATTAACTTCCAAGGGTGATGCACACAAATGCTGGAGTATAAATGAGTTTTTAATATGATCCTTTTTCGAGGAGCTGGATCTGATTTGTCTTATTCTGGAGGTTTTCCAGGTGCCCGCGAGTATCGGAAGAGGAAAATGACCCCGCGCGCGTCATCGTCGACGTCAAGTCAGCGCGATGAGACGACATGACGCGACGCGACGCGCCGCGCGACGTAACAACCGGTGCAACTTATCTCTAGGCCACGCAGAAAGCATCTCGCTTTCCTCTTCCGTATTTATCGGCGAGTCACCTAATAATTACACTGATCTATATTTGCTGCACTTAATCAAGGCAGAAAAACTCAAGATCCACTGGTTACTGCACGTATCCGGATGTAACGATATGATCCGAGCTTACTCCTCCAGCTCTTTGCGCAGAGAACGTATCCTGCCGTTCTAAGGAAAAACGCGGTATGAACCTTCAGGCGTTGCCAAATTTCCTTTCATAAAACGCGAATTTCCTGGTAAAGTTATGAATATTTTCCTTCCAACTTTTCAGATAATTTTGTTCGCAATGGACCACTAGACAAGGTACGAATTTAAGCATTCTGATACATGTTACTTGACCAGAATTTCACGTAGAATACGATTCGCGCAACGAAAATTACTGAAACCAACTCCTGACGGAGATATTAAAATTTTTATTTCACATTGGTTACGAGGAATTTGAACTGCCCGCTCACAAGAAACTCAAAGCTCTACGTGAGTCAAATCGCGCACTAAAACGATTTCAGCAAGCTTCTCAATCGAGCGATGTTCATCTCCCACCATGTGTTTTTCAAACTATCAGTAATTTGCTATAGCTCAACCAAAGCGTCAAGATTGATGGTTGTCAGATTTTTTAATCGCAGAGACTTTCACGATAACGTTAAGCGCGCGATGTGAATCACGTAGAGCATTGAGTTTTCATGAGCGGTTGGTTTCAATTCACGCACCAAGAATCATTAAATATCTTCGGAAGGAGTTGATTTCGGTAATATTTGTCGTGCGCATCGTGTTTTACGTAAAATTTTGGTGAAGAAACATGTATCAGAAAGCTGAAATTCGTACCTTGTCTAGTGGTCTATTTCACCTAAAGATTCTGAAAATTTAAAGGAAAAATACTCATGGCTTTCCGCAAAAATAAACGTTTTATCGGAGTAAATGGCAACCCTTGAACGTTCATACGGCGTTCTTCCTTAGCGCGGCAGTATCGACGGTAAAACCCTTCGAACCGTGCATCTCGCTTTGCGACATTGCACCTCCGTGCTAAGGAAGAGCGCCGTATGTCCACGGTGAAACTATTAGACCACGTGTCGCGCTTTGCTACTATCGCTTTCCTCGACTATTATTGTTTTTCGTGTGAGCGGGAAATTCAACGTTCCCGTATCTGCGATGTTAATTCGTCGGTCCTCTGACGTAAGGGCGTATCTCGATCTCCAAGTGAACCCTGTTGTCCGTATAACTCCATGCTTTCAAGGGCTCATGTCAAAATCGAGATACGCCCTTACGTCAGGGGAGCGACGAATTGTGGGTTAAGAGACTTTAACGCACGGATAGAAGTGTAAGCTTAGTGTCAAGCGTAAAGCCTGCTTCAATTAGATCTTGATGTTTCTTTCTTTGGAACGTAAAAATTACCCTCATAAACTCATGGCATATCGATTATGATCAAGTTAAAAAATCCATAACTCCATTACAATGAATATTCGATCATGATTTATTTATTTGGAGGAAACCTGACGTAAATGTCTCTATAATTTTTTGTGAATTTTTTTAAATGAGTAAAGGAATTTCTCAAATGATGTTAACATAAAGTTAGGTTGTTTTTCTTTAAAAAAAACAGAAACATAAGCGGCTATTTGCAACGTTGAAATGAGGGATAGTAATCATTTGATTTCAATATCGGTTATAAAAAAAAGAACATGAACAGAAACATGAAACAGGGGAAAAAACAGTGCGACACCTAGAATGCTTCAGACAAACTATTGCACCATCTTTGCACTAATTATCGATGAACCTGCTCTATCTTATATTGCAAATGAGAGGCGATTGAAGTTATAACTGTCATTAATTCGCCTTTGAATTGTAAGATAGGCCCAAAATTGCTGTGGCGAATAATTATTTATTTTTTGACCTAGTTTTCCACTCGGAATGTGTGAATTGAAGACAACTTTTCTGCCGCACCGCCCCTTGACGCAATGTAATGAGATTATGAGTGTAATTTAATCCAATGCTAGTAATAAGGTCTCAAGGGTGAGGTTAGTGACCTCCCATCACTAAGTATTATGCTGAAGTCAACCTCAAGAGTGGCTCATGATGGCTTAACTGAAGAGCCTTGTACATTATCTCGATGGCAATTTTTTAAAATGCCCTCTTTTTCTTTATCTATTTGAAAAAAGACTAGTCGATTTTTTCATTTTTTTTAAATGGCCACTTTTCCCAAAAATTGCGCAATTTCCGAGAAACCGAGATTTTGCCCAATGTTTTACGTCACGTTTCTATCCCGTCACGGGGGAGCAAAGCACTGGCGTGGCAATACATCGATTGTTATTCCATTTAAACCTATGGCAAAGGATCGATAAAAAGGGTGTTCGCAGTGAACATCTTAATAATCGATTCTTTCCTATAAGTCTAAATGGTAGAACAATCGATACATATCGCAATTCACGCCACGCCACTGGAAAGACGATTCTTGTTAGTTGGCAACGCCACTTTTCCTCCATTCGAATGTATACGAAATAATCGATTCTAGGTGAGGCAGGATACCTTAGCTGTAGAATCGATATTTATGACGGAGTTAAATGGAAGAAAAACAACGTTGCCAACTTGCATAAATCGCCATGACCACGACGAGTGTGGCATGATAATCCGAGAACGGCCTGTAACGAATGCCATTTAAACGGGGCAGTGCTGTTAGTTGGTCTACCTTACCTTTCTAAACATTTTAAAGCTGAGAGACCGTGACACCTATATCCAGAGAGGATGTAAGGGTTGTGTTTAAGATAGTGCGGAGCCTCATGGTAGGTAAGTGTATGACTGCTCGATTTCCTTGTAACTTCCTTGTCTTCGTCTATAATCGAGGCTTTGATGCCATTAGGGTGCTCTATCAGTGATGGAATGTAAGACTTCTTTTCCTGCAGCAAAGAGTGACACTAGAATTAGGAGAAACACAATATGTCAAATCACCATATTGATGCAATTAAAAGGTGATCTGGTCCAACGGCCCAGATAAAATAAATAGATAGGACACGAATGAATAAATGAAGGAATGAGAACAAAAGGGAGCAACTGTACTTTAACGAAACGTACTTAAACGTATCATACGTCGCCTTTAAAGTGACTTTCAAATTTCAACTGCCAAATTTTATTCATCCCTTTAGCGGAGGTTTTTCCTTGAATATTCCAATGTAGATTGAATACATAAATGCATCTAAATAATTAATGGCAGTGAATATCAAAATATTAAACGTAAAAAGTTCACTACCGACCAATTTTACAGCGGACTAACTTTTTCTAATTGGGCGTTAACGCAATGATGAAGCGATTAATGCGCTATAACACGCAGATAATCAGCGTAGCGATTTGCTTCCCTCCCCCCTCTCTTTACATTTCGATTAGCTAACGCCCATACATGAACAGTTTTTGCAAATGTTTGCGAGAAATCTTTAATTTCATACAGAGACCTTGGCTACTAATGTCTGCTTAAAAGTACCACTGCCGCGGTTGTAATATTTTCCTTTGAGGAAATTCTAATTTCCTTCCACGTTTTTGTTAATCCGTTTATTTGCTCTTTGTTTGGATGTATGCGGATTTTACATCAGAGTGAGTGTTTTTTGCAGTCAAAGCTGCTCCGATTTTTTTTATCTTAATCTTTTGTAAAGCATTAAGCTCTTGGTACAAATGAAAGATCCGTTTACTATTCATCGTCATAACTAAATAGAGTTTCACCCCATACGTTATATGGTTGTATTGTTTACATTCATTTTTTTCTTAAAAAAAAAAATGTTATTTTCATTACGTTCATCACGATATTTACTAAAAAAAATTGGAAGTAGCAAAATAAAAGCGAATCATCCACACCAAGACGTTTGAGGAATATCGTATCTCCACATTGGAGCGCGTTCAAAGTTACGCGCTTCCTCAGGTTTCCCAGCGTAGATAGATCTTATCAGCCTATGACTTCCAATTGATATTGAGGAAAGTGCGTGAGAATGGTCATTAGAACATAAACGATTATTTTGCACAGAGTTCCCATGGCAGATGGAATTCTCGCCCCGGGAGTCCGGCACATGATAATTGGTCGGAGGAACGGTTGGTTAAAAAACGTGTTTTAATACGTCAAACCCCTGAGCCAGAAGACAATGAATTGCAGATTCAGTCCAGTTGAGAATGCTGCAATCCATTCTGCGATTAAAGCAGGATAACGAGCGCGTAAAAAAGCGTTTTTTGACCGTCTAGATAGGCGCCTTCGTCTGTGTTCCTTTGTTAGACTTGTCTTATTACTCGGGCAGACTTTTGCGACATTAAATTTTGAATTTCTCTTGCGTTGTAATTTTTTTTTTAGATTTTTTTAATTTTTGAAACGACACTTAACAACTAACCATAATAATATGTCGGGAGAAATAACGTAAGAAATTTAAGCGTTTTTTAGCCTCCCGCCTCAAAAATTGTGCAACCGCAAAGGCAGAATTCGACATAAAGGAGTCACCTTAGTTTTGCTAGTTTACTGGTTTAAAAATCGCGCAAATTTTCACCGCACTTTGTGAACTTCGGAGCAAATCTTTGATAGACTAAGAAAACGAAAAGAAAGATTTTTCGGGAATTTGCTTCGTAAAATGGATAGATTTCACTGAAATTTCCACGAAGATTCGCATGCACAACTGTTTTCATGTACCTAAAAAATTAAAATGCCCAATGAAAATTAAATTTGGCAATATCTGATGTGGCTTGGTTCCTTTCTGTTCAACGCAGTCCAATTAAAAGACGAATAACCACACGTTTTCCGTACATTTCTTATTATCTAACGCTTATTTGTCTATCAATTTAAAAAAATATCCCGCTGATGCGCTCATCGTGGTTTTGAAGCAATTTTTTTTTCTTCAAAGAAGTCCTTCGCTTTTATTTTTTATAAAAGTTTACAAGAGACCCGCTAAAATATTTAAGGAGTCTTGAAGGGACGTGAACGGAGGCATTAGGAAGGAAACGACGAAGAGGACTCTACCAGTGGCGTGGCGTGTTTTGCGATATATCGATTGATCTGCCATTTAAACCTGCGGAAAAAGATCGATAGACAGGGTGTCCGCGGCGAACACCTTAATGATCGATTCTTTACCATAGCTTCAAATGGGGGGATATCGATATATCGCAAAGCACGCCACGCCACTGGACTCTACTGGCACAGAGACGGAGCGGGCGGCCGGGAGCCGGGTACCCGGTCGTAAGCCGAGGAACTTTCTCTTTTCTCTCACGGTCAATCTGTCGATTGATTCGGTTTCGGGCTGCGTATTCATCCGATTTACGCTTATCATTCACGTTATCGTTTCTCTTCCATTTTTCATAAGCATCGGCCACTTACGATCTCAGCCGCCGCCCGGCCGAATCGCTTGAGAATTCGCCTCTTTTACATTGTCGTCGATGGCGAATAAAATCCGATCGCGGTTTGGAAACGCTGCGAGGGTTTCTCCTCAAAAAATCCTCGCTGCTCTGACCACAGAGTACATAGAGCATAGAGTACATAGAGTGGTAATGTAAGTGGGAGAGCTGGCGCCACTTTTAAGCGTTTTTCATGTCCCGAATTCCGAGACTCCTGTGTGACGCCGGGTCACTTTTTCGATACATAATCGATTGTTTGCGATACACGGGTACCCGGCCATCCGATGATAACAACAACAACAACAGAGGAGATAGGAATTACCACGTATTCCACACCGCCATTTTTGGTCGAAAATGTATCGAAAAAGCGACCCGAACTCGGCGCACACCGGGCTCGGAATCCGTCGAGCAGAACATGGCGCCAGCTCTCCCATTTACATTACGACTCTATGTACTCTATGACATAGAGTCGTAATGTAAATGGGAGAGCAGGCGCCATGTTCTGGTCGACGAGTCCCGGGCCCGGTGTGCGCCGAGCTTCGGTCACTATTTCGATACATTTTCGATCCAAAATGGCCATGTAAAATACGTAATAATCCCGGTACTCTTTGTTTACGTCGGATGATCGGGTCCCCGTGCATCGATATCAATCGATTATGTATCGAAAAAGTGACCTGGCGTGACACAGAAGTCTCAGAATTCGGGACCGGGAAAATGCTTAAAAGTGGCGCCAGCTCTCCCATTTATATCACGACTCTATGTATTCTATGGCTCTGGCGTGAGGGTGTATCTCTATTTTCACATTAGCGCCGGAAAGCATATAAGGTTATACGGAGAACAAGGCTCACGGGACGAGTGAGATACAATGGCGTGGCGTAAATGATCGATTATCGATATTTCTCCATTTGAAGCTATGATAAAGAATCGATTATTAAGGTGTTCGCTGCGACCACCCTGTTAATCGATCCTTTTCCATAGGTTTGAATGACAAGTCTATCGATATATCGCAAAGCACGCCACGCCACTGGCGAGATACGCTCGTCAGAGGAGCTCGAACTGCTTGCCGTGGACCAAAAAATCCCAGTGGCGTGGCGTGAATTGCAATACATCGATTGTTATGCCATTTAATCCTATGGTAAAGAATCGATTATTAAGGTGTTCGCTGCGAACACCCTGTTTATCGATCCTTTTCCATAGGTTTAAGTGGCATAACAATCGATATATCGCAAAGCACGCCACGCCACTGGTGAGATACGCTCGTCAGAGGAGCTCGAACTGCTTGCCGTGGGCCCAAAAATCCCCCGCTTCGAAACTTTGGGGCCTCGCGAGAGGTCACCGGATGATCGCGAACATTCGCGGATCCGGGAAGTTTCCAACATTGTTTTCTTTCCATTTAAACGCGTTGAAATGTATCGATTCTCGGAGGGGCTAGATGCTGCACAAGAATTGATTACTCAGCACGGGTTTAAATGGATGAAAGCCAGCGTTGTCAGATTGCTGGAATCACCTCTGTCACGAAAAGTTGCCACTCGCTTGAAAATTATTACGATTTTACGAACGGCGATTTATCGAAATCTTTTTGGGACCGAAGTTGGCAATCAACTGCGTCTCACGGTTACCGTAGTTAAGAGATCCCGAAAAACCGGGCGAAGTCTGGAGAAAGTACAAAAGGATCCAAAGTCATGGAAAAAATTGCATCCGCTAATTTTAAAAGTGTCGCCTGACGTATAATTTAACTACAGTTTGTCGACTACATGATATATGACTACAGGTATTTAAACAATCCAATTTTTATTCGAAAAATTGACAACTTGGCGATAATATCAGTAATAGTTTAATACAGTAATCACAATAGCAAATGCTGGAATTGTGTAACGGAGTATGTGAAATACGCAACGCGCCCTTGGTTAGCGTCAAATACGACGAACATTATTTCATTATAACACCTGAATGCAACTATTCGGGCTCCATGGATGTCCGTTTTGCATACGCACGCAATTGAAGGCGTTTTGGCTGTCTAGGCACTCGTCACTTCACTCACGGCTCGCGGACGTTACCCCGAGGATCTAAAATTGCAGAGCGCTTTCAACGCTTCATTTATACTACATACAAAGATGTCTCCTATGCAGTAGAGTAGAGCAAATATTATTACCTACGAGATGTCTTCAAACTGTAACTGAAGAATTGAAGGCACTCTACTTTTTTAGATCCTCGCAATGAAGCACGCCGCACAGTGAGACGAACCAGTCAGACAGGTTCGCACATGTAATTTTTGACCAAAGTTGCTGATTCTGACGTTAATTTCTTTAAATGTTCAATTGTATGGGGTGCTTATCGAAGGAAATTGAATGAGAAAATCAATGAAACCACCGCTAGAACCTATACGTTCTATATCAACATCAATATGAGCTTTTCCACGTTTTGTCCGACTCTTCTCGTCTGCTCACTCCACTGAGCGCCGCTGGTGAGGCGGATAGTGTATGAATTAAAATGCCTTCTTTTTCGTGCGTATGCAACACGGACATCCATGGAGCCCGAATTGTTGCATCGAGGAGTTTAA